CGCCGCCTCCGAAAAGGTTGAAATGTATTTAATATAATACCTAACGAGTAAATAGGTTTCATTCATATCTGTTACGTAATTGTATGATTGAATGAAATAGAAATTACTTCATTAGGAAATAGAAATTATTTTATACTTTTTAGTGCATTTCGAAGTCGGCGTATTTTTTTTTCTAAAAATTATTTTATTTATACACGCGTACCGTATCGTGTAACGAGTCAGATAATTCGAAAACTTTCTTTGTGACTCGAATTAAAATGTACGTAAAAACTGTGTACATCTCTGAGTAAAGTAAAACCGATAAAAAAAAACACCAGTACATACAGCAATACATGCATGCGTACAAAGAAATCGGAGTTGAGCATTGGAATACTTTAGAAATTTTAAATTTACAAATTTGAACATCTGAAATGTTATGAGTTCAAGAACTTGTTCCCATAAAAAATTTGCACGACGTAAATTGGTGCCAATATATCGAGACTACACCGTAAACTTGATTCGAAATCTTTATTCAAGAATCTTCGAACATATTTCAGCTCGAATAAAGCAATTACTTGTTACTCTCCGCTATCTCCCTTTTAATCGAAATTTATACTCGAAGATTACTCGAGTAATGTCCAACTCCGCTAGTAACTAACGCGGAATGTGTATATGGTTCTTATCGAGCGAGATAACGCACGTAAAAATATCGATGCGTCGTTTCGTTGCGTGCAGTCGATACGTCGTTTGCACGACACGGTACAACGGAGAAAATTGATCGAATAAAACCGGTGCCCGTATACCGCGTGCACGCTCATCGACTCTGGCACAAAATACACAAATTCACGGGGACATACTGTGTACGCCTGGTCGTATGGCTGAAATTATTGACTTAACCGATAGGCTACGACTGTCGAAAAATTCACGATGTAGCGTCGCCGCTGGAAAAACATCGAGCTCGTTCGATGTGTATAACCTCAACGATTGATCGTTGACTTCGAATAACTTTTGTCGTATAAAAATCATGGACGAGTAGAATTATATGAAAAATTTTGCGGAAAAGGAACTATGAAATCGCCACACGGCTTGACCACGCGCACGAAAGAGGGCTGACTCGACGCGCGAGGGTCAGAAACTAACCCCCAAAACTGTATACGTCGCTCGATCGCGATGAAACCACTTTGCCAGAGTAAATGAGCGATGCACACAAAACACGTGCACGGAATCGAAATCGTGTTAGGATATAATAAGATTTTCAACTTACCGAATACGTGGAACAACTCCAGAACACCGTAAACTGGATCAATTCTCACTTACAAACACGAAACTTAACAGCAATCACGGTACAATGGCGTACAGCAGGTGCGTACCGAAGACTGAGCTAATGCTCTCGCCATCTGTCGGGCGGTTCCGTAAGTTGCCGGCAAAATGGCCTCTCTGATTGGCTGATCCCGTCCAATAGGGCAACGATCCTCATTTACGCGGGAACGTTTGGCGCGAGGACGGCCATATTGGTGTTTCGTTCAAACTGCAGATTAAAAATAATAATGTTAAATATGCATTACGAAAATGACGATATTCATAAATAATTATTTAATAGTACAAAATTTTAATGCTTTTCAAAGAATTAACAGGATAATAACAGCAAATTTATATACGTATTTCAAGGAAATTCCAATAGTTTTAGACTAGTTTCAGATTTTAATTTATAACATTAAAAAAGTTTATCAACTGCAAATCGTATAAAGCTGTAAATTGGAAATTTCTTAATTTCTGAATAAAAAAAATTGATACTGTTAAAATTACCGGAATAAACCGCTTCTCTGATTGGTCGACTCCATTTAATAAGAGAGTAACTGTCAGCTACGCGGGAATGCTTGACATGAGAACGGCCATATTGGTTTTTTATTTAAACTGTGTATTCAAAATAATAATATTTCAAAATGGACTACGAAAATGAAGATATTAATAAATCACCATATAGTAATAAAAAAGTTATATGTTCTTTTAGAGGAATTGTTGGAGTAATAATAATTTACTTATTTTAAGGGGATTCAGATAATGAGGATCTATTTCAATTAGATGAAGAAATAAATGATGTAAGATCAAAATTATTGGAATGTCAATCGAAATGTGAGAGTACGGTATCGAAGATTTATGATGTCAATCAACTAAAAGATAAAGGAACATTTGTTTTAAAAGATGTTACAAGAAAATATAGTAAACTGGACGAGGAATTATATGGAATCCATTGCAATTATGTCAAATGTGCAGAAAAGATCAATTCTTGTGAAGAATATGTTAATCAAAAAATTGATGCTCTTACATTGCAACGAGATAATTTAAAGAAAGAATTATCGGAATTAAAAACAAAAGCAGAAGAGAATGACAAACAGTTGATGGAAATAAAAAAAATGATCACAATTCAAGAAGTAATCATTTTTTCATTACTTCAATATACCCGATCAAATTTTTACATAATTTTTTTTTTTCAGAAGAAGAATACAGCACTAATACGGAAACTAAGAAGACTAGTAGAGAATACACACATACCACCAAACTTAGAAGCAAAAGTAATTGCGATCCTAAATGATCCTAGAGTTACTAATACAAAAATTTCGAAGCAATAAATCATATAGTACAATGCACTAACATTATTCAATTACATTATTATAATATAAAATTATAAAATATCACAACTGTTTAATAAAGCTTAAATGTAAAAATAATTTCGCCCTACATAAATTAATCTGTTCGCCTCTAGTATAAAAGCTTAGAACATTTAAAGTTATTTAACATTTACAATTTTCTTATGTTACTAGTTATTCACGATTTAACAATGTTAAACTTTTTCTTAAATTTTCTAGCCTTGTCTCTAGCATATCTAATATAAGCGGTGACCTGTTTAGGGACTGCTCTATATTCTCGTTTAGAGCAATCATTTCCGATCGCCGAGCTGCAATCTTTTCCATTAAATTTGCATTTTCCTCCTCCATTTTAGTTACTCGTTTCTCCAATTCTTCGCTGTGTTCTTTTATCTTTTGTGCGTCCAATGATCGCAAATGTAAGGATACATTACCAGGCGGTCTCCTACAATGAAAAAAGAATAAACATATCCAAAATCACAAATGTATTAATAATTAAATACTGTCTTTTACCAAGCATCTTCAGTTACTGAAGAATTTGCATCCGATAGTTTTGCTATTTTATTCATTCCTTCTTGTATGCTACCATCATTCAATATATCTTCTAAATCAGCGTTCATGTTATCTTCAAGTTCTTTCACGAGAGCTTTATGTAACTTATGCGTAATTTTCGGTTTCGACTTCAGAATTGTCAGTACCTCAGAAAATTCATCATTGCTGAAAAGAGAAAAATAGATGTGTTAGTAAAATTTGACAACACTGAAAAATATGTAAAATTCCAATCATGAAATATGTTAGCGGCATGTTTACAGAGTGTCAATTACCCTCTATTACAACTGTTAATGCTGGTGACTCAATTAACATAATTGCAACCCGCTTACAAGCAGAAACACCCAGTACAATTGATGCCGAGAGCATCTCGCTCACTTTTCGTACATTATTTCATAACCGACTTCATTGCCGTGAGATCAATGTACGGTGAAACGAAAGCATGCGTGAGCGAGTGTTCCATTTCATGGATGTTAACTCGAGCGAAAAACATTCCTAATATACCAACACCTGGCCAGATAAATATGTAGTTCCGCGAATGATGAACGTTCAACGATCGCTGCGCATGTGCTTGGCTCTGCCGCCTCTATCGGCCGGATCAAATTTTTCTTTGTTTACCGTGCACAAAGGGGCACGGCATAGCTTGAATAGGGAAAGAACCAGTATCCAGGCAACCGAATCCAGTTTTGTAGTATTATAACGAGCGTACAATAGTGGCACGTAATAGCGTTGCACAATCTTCCAGAACAGAGATTCTGTAGGTGTGAGTCGCCAGGTTGATTTGGGATGTCTCACGTTAAATATTCAAATATGAGAAATTCGAAAGATATAAAGGGATACTTTTTATTCAACTTATCTTCTGAACATAGGAGTTTAGGACTTTGGAATTTTGGAAATTTGCTATTTCACAATTTTAGCCCTTCAAGATTACAAAATTTGTAAACTTGGGTCTTTGGCATTTTGAGACTTTAAGATACTTGGTAATTTTTGAATTTTTTATAATAATTCATTACTATTAAATGACTCCATTTTCGAAAATGTGCTCGGCCCATTAAGTCTAGGAAGTACTGATCTAGATCAAAGTACAGTATCCTGAATACACATAATGGGTTGTAAAACATTTCCTCCAGGAAGTGGACGAAATCAACCAAGACGAAAAGGCCACACCTTCGATTCTTCCGTCGTTTTAAGCTGACTCAATCAGGCCGGGACTGGTGCAATTTGATATCAACACTACATATTTGCATTAGTCCAGACCTGGTTAAGTATGCTTCTTAAGTCTTCCGCATCCTTCTTCCTTCCTGCTTGTATCTCTTCGACCCATTCACAACCTATAGCCACAACAGAGAACGAAACGTTATTACGTTATCTCCCACTTATATGAGATCATCGTAAAAAAGAAAAAGAAACATACATACATGTTACCATGCATTTAAAGCTGTCACAAAAGGAGAGCCTCGTTGAACGCGTTAGCACATCGTAGACAGAATAAACGACGCAACAACGTTCCTCGTGGGACGCACGTTCGTCACTGAATTATTGTAAGTGAGAATATAACGGACAAGCAGAGCCACGCACGATCTCCGTGACATGCACCGCACGAATGATGGGCCCGAACGATGGTGACCGCACCAGGGGCCCTTTGTTTCCTCGAACACTTCGTGGAATTCTTCGAAGGTCAACTGGTGTGTTGGGTTTCAAAGAGTGGCAGGTTTCTGGGAAACGGAAGCTAAAAAAGGGACCGATTTCGAAGATTCGGCTACTATGTACAGCGTCAAACATAGGAGATTTCCCGAAGAAAAATGACATAGGAAAAGAAGGCCATATCATCCTCCATAGTATTCTAGACATTTGGAAATTAACAAATTTTTAATTGCAAAAATGTTCAAATTTGGGAATTTGGAAATTTATAATTTCTAAATGGTACCTCTTTTCCTTTTTGTCATCCCGATTTTTTTTTAAGAAATTTACTCTGTAATTCACTACGTCTTTTTCGAGCTATGTCACAGTTTTTCCTAGAGGAATTCTAGAGTACCCTTGACTACAATCTGGTGGAGTCGTGTCGAGCAATAGGAGCCAATTGCTCGGACACGTGAACATAGGATGGATTAACATACGAGTCACAAAGGCCAATGACATCGAGTAACATCGTTGTTGGTTTGGGTCATTGGCGACCCGATCCCTTCCCCTCTATGCCGGTGGTTCACTGCCGAACATCGAGACCTCTAAAATGTATTTACAACACATTGAAAGGCCATGTATCCCGTGTTCCCGCTCCCCTTAGGCTTTCTTAATTAAAGCGGTATTCTTGACCGCGACTCATACTTGACACACTTACAGTACTGTTATCGTTCGAACCATGAACCTAAGAATATAGGGACAAGAATACATCCTTGACGAGGGAAGCCATTACCGAAGACGATATCTAGTTTTTACTGGATTTTCAAATCCAAATCGGAAATTTGAATATTTGTTTTACATCGGCAAAGAATATTTATTCAACCACCATTTACACTTTTAAGAAAAGACACAACTGAACATAGGAGTTTAACGAATTTAAAATTTGATTGGCTCTTCAATTTAATGCGCATGCGTCTATGTAAATAAAAAACCGCGAGTATCATTGTCACGTATGATCATAACCTCTAAAATATTGATCAGTAAAACCACATTCGTAGCAACAATTTTATATGAATTACAAACAGACATTATATCAATACATTTCACTAAGTTTATTAAAAAATATATTAATCTATTGATAGCAGTACTCACCTGACTGATTCTGCAATGTGTTTGAAAGTATTTGAAATAGCGAGCCGAAATAGGAGAACATTATTCGGATACTTGTCCTCTTGATCTTCTCCCATTCTTGGTCAAAGTATACTCAATTATTGAGTCTTCGAATTTCAGGAACCGAATACTTCAACAAAAGCTGGACATAACGGTTCTTGCACTCAACACACAGCTGTAACTTCCACTTTCGCGTCTCGGGACTGTTAGGAATAATTCAAATCGTTTGAAAGTGTGTCGAGAAGATCGTAACAGTTTGAAACGCTACCGGTAGGTGGCACTGTAGGTTCAAAATCACGTTACCGACATTTACCCGCCTGTACAAATTGCTACGTATTCTGACATTTGTATTCAAAATGAAATTAAAAATAAAATGTACATATACAATGAAAGAACTATACGCTTACGTGTAATTATATGCTATATAAAAATAAAAATAGAGAAGTGCATAAAAGAGCCTTGCATTCTTGTTTAATTGCGCATTTGTACCGTCTGATATTTTGAAAACTTTTATAGCGGGAAATATAAATTTCTTATAATCCCTGAGAATGGCCTTTTGCTAATAAAATGCATACTATGAGGGAAGTAAGATGACTCATACCGTACGTTACACCAACTACTATATCTATTGAGCACTTATACATGATTTATTAAACCATCGAGTTAAACTTTTTCTTCAGATAAGTATCATACTTTAAAAATGTCGCAATCAATAATACTTCAGAAGCACAGCGTTACGCAACCAATGACAACACTATTTCACACAGACTGATGAACAGAAGAAGCTAGTAATAGAACCCGAATTAAAGATAACTTGTAATGAAAACCTGCGACTGATCTTGCGATAGCTTACTTCTATCTAATTAACATTCTTCTCACATTACGTATAGACTCAACCCGTGTATTCTATGTCATTACTAATTAGTTGTGTCAATTAGTGTTTGCATTTAAAACGAAATATACTAATAATACGAAAAACTATTCCTCGTAACCTGAAATTAAATACGATCAATTTATAACCATGTCACTTCCGTTACGAGCAGATCTTCCATTGCATAATAAAAAAGATTCTATGCATCATACTCGTTGAGAAATCCTCGTCAATATCTCAGGCATCGCGTTCCGCGTGGATCTGATCGACGGTTCGGAGAAGCTGCCCTTATATCCCCAGGAGTCCAAGGCGAACAGGTCGAGTCCGGGTGATGTTTCACAGACTACCGGACTAGAAACTGGATCGTCTAAGTTCTTAGCTCGGGGCTGATCCAAAGTATACGGTGTAGTTCTGGCAGCTGCACCCCTACCCTCGAAGAACACCGTTCTCGCGAACGGTCTACGCTAGCAGCTTCAAAGGTCACTGTTGACGCTGGAAGAAGGGACGCCCGCCGTTACCGTAGATTCTCAAAGTAGCTCACATCGAGCTGAACCGATGTGATGCTCCTCCGCATCATTATGCAATCGATCTGAACTATATTTTCTTCCCTGACTAGAGTCAGCAAGTGAAGAGAAGGCTTGTACCGCTACCGTGAGCACCCATTCACTCGGGTCGATCCTTTTAAATCGAGAAGCGACATGTTCAACGTACGAGTTCCGATCCCGTCGATCGCGATGATCCCGGATCGAAGTCTCGCGATTCGTTTTCGAATTCCAGCAGATTAGCGTTCCATCGAGGACGTTCGACAAAAGATTCGAGTTGGAGAAGCATTGGCGTAACTACGATCTTTGCGATGAGGGATCCTAGATTCATTAAGGATGTCGAGAATCCACGTTATACATGCTCAAGTGATTCGTGGACATGTACAAATTTCTAACATGAGATATACACTCTACACCCTTACTCTTCAAGTGAATAGCCAGTTCACAGTTTGGGGTTGTTCAAGCTATCTTAGCCCTAGTTACGCCAATGTGTTCAGCATTTCAATGTCCTCTACTCTTCTTCCCTCAGTTCGTTCTCTTCTGTCAGCTCGTAGCCTCCGGCGACCTGCAGAAGGAGAAATGTATAAATTTTACAGGTTAACGTGAAGGCGATTATCCTCGCGATGGTGCGGTTAGTATCCCGGATGAAAGTACCAGCACGTATTTACGAATTCCAATGCACGAGAATCCTCCGTCAATTGCGTCAGTCTGAATAGAATTGCAAGAAGATTCGCTTCGACGCGCGAACGTAGCACTCGTCCACTTCGTCATCCTCCTTGTTATCATCGTCAGCGTCCACGAGGTTGCGTCAGGACGAACACGAGAACCTCCGAGACCACAGACTTGTCTTTTTTTTTTCATTTTTTCCTTTCGTCGACCTCCGCTGCGTCTATTCTTTCGAAATGCTGCTACGATCATCATCCGTACTGCAAGATCGTAACAAAGAAAGCAAAGCAGTAGCGACTACTGATTGGAGGCAGCTATTATGCGTACAGTCCTTCTGATGCAGATCATTATTCAATAACGACGTGTGAGCCGAAGCTTCCGTGATTCGTTCGTGCAGTATTCACCTGGAATTCGTACCACGGGGAAAGTTGATTGGAATTGTCGTCTGATTATTTTGATTACGGGAATAACTGTACATTGGCGTAATTAGGATTCTTGTCTAGGATAAACCGAGTCTCTTGGTTTTACTCGTTCTTTAGGGTAACCCCGATCCTTACCCTGTTACGCCAATGCACCGGTCGCTAGGGGCACGAAATTGTTCGTCTTTACACGTACACGTAATAATCCAGCGAGTATATAACAGCAATTAGCCAGGTTGTTAGACCTGTACGAGAGTGTTTCTTAATCCGTTAAAGCTCAACCTCTGCGTGAACGCGTGTAGCGTACCTTTCTTCCCCGATGAAATATCAAGCGTAACATCGAGTTCCTTAAAAAGAAGATCAGACTTATAATCACGAATTTAAGTCGTGTATAAAGTATAAGAGAGTCACGAACACCTTTCGTTACATGTTTCTCAGCGTCCAAGGTAAAACCGTAGTAGATCCGGATGATATCCTGGAGCTAAGATTCCTAAGCTACGGGTCGCGACCCCTGAGGATGCCGTCATGTATTTTCTGGGAAATCCTTCTCGTCATTTTTAGTTGCAGTTGCTAGAACGTAGACAATTATTTTATGCGAGGAGTCAAAGGATATTGAGAAACGCAATTCCGAAGCAAAGAAAGGGTGTTGGAGTTCAGGGATAAGGAGTAACTTATTTCCGCAAAATATCACAGCACCTTATTCGGTGATTACCGCAAAGATCAGGTGCCTCCCGATTGAAAGCGGCGAAGGTACATGAATAGTAGATCGCTTACTACCGTTGGCTTGGCGTGCACGATCCTTTTTTGGTGACAGCGCCCACTAGCTAGGTGAGCATCGGAGACCGCGAAGGTGCTCGTCGACGAACCGTTCCTTCGATGAACCTCACCTCTGGCATAACACGAGCAGCAAGATAGATGAATGCGCGGATAGCACGCCAAAGGGCTGGGTCTTCTCAAAGCGTATCGGCGTGTTCGGTGACTCGATCCGTTTAGAAAGCATCCCAAGTTCTATCCTCTCCAGTACCAACTGGTATACATTGTCTCGAGAGTTCGCGGTATCCTATTATCGAGCCACGACTCACGATCGCCCTGTTTTTTACCCGAGCCGCACCCCTGCATCGGCTAATTCGAATGGCTCGCAGCGAACCGATCCTATCGATCATCGAATCACGCGGCTTTTCTGTATCCTGTCCAAGGCTTCAGCTCGATTCTTGGAGGTATCCCTGTCTGATCTGATCCTGAGATCCAATGGCGTTCGCCAGACAGAATCTATTACCAGCGATGCTCCGATAAGCGTAGGTATCGACTCCTCCGGGTCTGGGTGTCAAGTGGTACCAGCGATTAACCTGAAGTTAAAGAGTTTAGCGAGTAACTGTGCGTTACAAGGATAGGGTCGTTTGTATAGGTTTCCCAGAGATACTTGAAATCTGTTCGCGTTTTGCAATCGGTATGAATGAGATGTACATTGTGGGAAAGAGCGAAGTGTGATTTATTGTTTTTTTCGCGAGACTTATTTTATTACCATTTTGGGAGTGGTTCAAGCCAAGATCATCGTTAAGCGAGATAATTCATGAGAGGCTATAAATCGATTTTAGAAGCTAAAGGGTTTACATAACCGAAAGGAGCGTTCGGAGATCACCCGTTCGGGGGAGTGCGATGGATTACCTCACCGATTCAGCAACTTTCTTCCAGAAACAGTTGTTATGAGACTCATAAGAAGAAAGTATGACCGGTTACGTAAAACATTTCACTCACCCTTTAGGCAGCATCCCAGATACATTGGGTACTGCGTCACGTCGATTGTTGCTAGGATTCGATCGATGAATTCCGGACCGACTGAAAACTATCAATCTCTTGCATGAGTACGCGAAATACATGCAGACTTTTATTTCGCTCGAACATGCATCTTATTCGTGAGCGCGATTCTCTTACCTTTTATACAGTGTCATTATGAACGGAGAAATCAACCATTCTCACGGAAAGCAATCATAATATTCTCTAATACATATCTCTCATATGTAGCGTGGCATCAATCAACTGTTTCACAGAGATATCATAAAGCAAGTATTTAACATCTCAGAATTATGAGAGATCTTGAAATTTTGGATAGAGTTTTTCATCGTGAGATTCTTACGTCTTCATATTCTTAAAATTTGAATTCTTCCTCTCATAAGTTTCACATCGCATCAATGATCGTTGCCTCAACTAGTACATTATATTCCAATTTACTGGAAAGAAGAAAAAGAAGCGAAATAAAAAGGATCGTGCAAGAGTAAAGTAGACGTCAAGGGGTTAATCGTATACCGCATAATTCCAGTACGGAGCAAAGAAACCGCTAAATCCCAAAGTGACCCGGTAAAAGTGAAGAGTCTGCATAAGGAACTGAACCGTTCGCGCCAATCAACCACGAGGTAAGATCTCGGAGACGCGAACTCGAGAGAGGTAAAAGATGGTTATTGGGAAGCGATCACGTCGAAGGCGTCTGCCTCGGAGCGTGAGTACGGTGACCCGAGGGGGATCGTTAAGCGGGCAAGTTACGTGCCGATCGGTAACACCAGAAACGATTTGGAGCGGCATCTCGTATACGTACACGTTCGCACACCTACGTACATTACGTAGCATCGGTACGGTTGATGCGCAACGCACCTGGTTGCGCAATTATCGCGCACGGTTGCGGAGCGTGCGTTGCTCTCTATAAACCATCCCATCCATCGTGGATGATGATGACGCTACACGACCCCGTGGCTGACGCGGGATGTCAGAGGCGAAATAACCGATATAATTACAAAGAGAAACGTATGTACGCATATTGAATCGTATCGTACGTCGCAATCTTCCATATCAGAGACGCCGCTCGTCCCCGTACCCGACGATCCTCCATCCTCTTCCAACTGGAACAGTCGCATCGCGTAACCTCTCTTTTTCTGACAGCCATCGGCTGTCCCTTCGCCCGTCTACATGCTCCCATACACGCGAACATCGATTCACTTTCATGTCGACCCGATTAGTCGACCTTCAGGTCCAACCGACGAGAGATGCCCGCCGATCTGTATCACCTCGCTTGCGCAACCACCCCTTCATCCTTCGTCTCGCACCGTGGCTCATCTTCAACCGCCCTCTCCCTTCGTATCTCCCTCTTCTTCTTCCTGCTAACCCTTTCTCTGTTGCTCCTTCGTTACCCGAGTTCGCGAACTTCGCCGAGGGACGCGGCACCGGGTGTTCACCAGAGTTTCTAAGTCTCTTCCCTTCTGGCCGGGTGGGAGGAAGACGATCCTCGGCCACGGATCGCTATATAAGCACAGTCGCTTCGACCTGAATCTGCACAGACCAATTATTGCCATCGTTTGGCCATACAACGTCCCTCTGTGCAACCAGTATCGTCGGGCAGGCTCAATTTTCGTCAGGATTTCATCATTTGTCAGCGAGATGAGATCGGTACGGCTCACACGCGTCTGGTGACGTTTGTCCGAGTTGGACCAGGTCTAAATTCACTAAAAAGTGTCAAGTGCTCAGTGTTACTTATTTTAACATAGTTTTCACTCATTATTCTTACCTGAGTGCCAGACTGACACAAGTCCAACTTCTCTTCTCACTATTTAATCCATTTTCTTTTTCGAAAAATGTGTAAGTGTTTTTATTCCTCTGCTTTTCGAAAATCGGCTTGTGAATGTCTGGATCTCAAGTACAGAATTTAATTCTATTGCATACTGCATTTTGGTCTAAATGATCTTTAGAGCACGTATGGACCCCCCTGAGATTCGAAATTTCCGTTGAATAATTTGCAATCTCGATTGCAATTCGTTCCATTAATTATTTCAATTTGTGGAGCAAAGTGCGCGTGGAGAAACACGCAGTCCAGTGATGACATAATTCATTCTTGCACTTCCATAAGCTAAAAATAGTTTTGAGATTTTAGACAATTAATTGATACACGCGTTAAAATAATGGTAAAAAATATATTACAAACGTCATTTTAACAGCTCGCTGTCGCGCTGCTGGTAGTCGGTACCTGTTACGCGGCCCGACTGGAGAACACTTACCTTCCTCCGGGTAATGCGGGCACCGCGGGAGGTGCGGGTTTAATACAAGCGCCAAATAGAGGCCCTGGAGGTCCTGGTGGTCCCGGAGGACCTGGTAGACCCGGTGGAGCAGGCGGTCCTGGTGGTCCAGGTGGTCCAGGTGGTTTCGGCGGCGGTGGAGGGGGTGGCTCCTTCGGCGGTGGTGGTGGAGGAGGTGGCGCTTACGGAGGTGGCGGTGGAGGTGGATTTGGAGGACGTAAGTACCTATTTTTTTTTATAATAAAAAGAATTAATTGTGTGACTTATTACATCGAAAAGTTAACTTGAATTCTTTACTTACTGGAAGATTATTTAATCGTCTAATGAGTCTTCAAGTTTTTGAAGTAATTGAAGTTGTATAAGCAAACTCAACACAAATATTATTGAATTAAATTTCCTCCAATATTAAAATTGCATGTATGACAATTTTGAGAATAATAATTTATAGTGGCGTGTTATTATGCAACTACTTAAAGATGATTCCTAGTTAGACGTTCATTAATATCGATTTCCTCACGATAGATTACTATAATTTGCGTAAAAGGTACAAGTAAATTACTTCTCGTAATATAGTAATAACGGGGTAATCGCATAGCGTACGTGACGATATTAAAGTTTATCGAAAGTAATATCATTTTTCATAGCGGTCATTATTCTTCGTTATCTAACCAAATAGTTTGAAAAATTATGTTTGGAAGAAGTTCTCTTTTCATCTGTAGTACTTTTTCGTTAAAATTCTTTGCTTTCCTTGTTCGCTCCAGTACACATCGTTTCTGTAAACCCATAAATGAGATTTCATCACATCGCGTGTTACAAAAAGAGCAACATACATCAGGACGTCAACGCATTAGATCACGAAATGAAATTACACTGCGTTTTTTACCACGCTTAGAGGGAGAGAAATCGCGCGATGGGAGATTCATCGTTGTTCGACTCGCTACGAAATACAGGTTGTCTCCAAACTGGCACAAAAAATATTCACTGCATACGGTTCTTTTACAGGCACCAACTTTTCTCAAATTCTCAAATTTCCAAATTGCTATACTTCCAAATTTTCAACTAGTAAGATTTCTACATTTTTCAATTTCCAAATCCGAACCTTGAAAATTTCTATATTTCCAAATTTTCTATATTTTCGAATTCCCATACTCCCACACTTTGTGGCTTCTCGTTATCTAAATTAATAAGTTACCACGTTTTTGTTGCAACTCGTCATATAAAAACTGTGCTCCGTTAATTGTACAACCTGTATAAAAAGTAGACACATATCATGAAATAAAAGTGAGAACCGTGAAACGTCTAATCACTGTATCCCTCGTCTAATGAAGACGAGCTCACGGGGTCCTGGCAATCGTTCGGCCACGATTCGAATACCGTGGGAATCCGTTGCGAAAATTGAGATCAGAGTAGAGTCTCTCGTGTGTCTCCTTTTCTACGGTATACCGCCAACGACCCAGTAATTAGGCTCCATTCAGTTACGAATTAATCTCGAGTATGTTCGTGGATTTCACCTAGTATGATGTAATCTGAGATTGCACGGATAGGTCGATCGATAAAAAGCCGATTATGCCATGTGGGATGAAACGAGGAGTATTCTGCGAAGACCGCTTGAAAGCCTGACTAATTGCTTCTGTTAAGGATGATTGGTTATTTGCATTTCTATCGGCCGTTCGTCACCAAATCGTTCGCGTTTCCTAATGTGGAAACGCGTAATGTCTTTCAGGTTTCCTAATGTGTTCGCAGTAATGGTCGACTATTTATCGATTGTACCATTGCTTTTACAATGTATTAAGTGTTGCATAAGTCTGTTCCTGCAAGAAGAATTAAATTGTTCAGAACATTTCCTGAAAGATCGATAGACACCTAGAACGTATGTATACGTTTTCAAAGGGTGAATCCTGAATTACCCATAAACTTTAAAATAATACGATAAAATTTACCTGATGATAAATGTCCCTCTTCTTCCTGGTTACGTCTCTGGTAAATCACCTTCTCATACGAACTAATTGCGAACGTTCATTTATCATTTTTATGGTAAACGAATCGTAGAAACCGGAGAGTATCTCTGGCACGTTGTGCAACATCGACCAGGGAATGATTCGAGTGAAATTTTCACGAATCACGATTGCGATACTTAAAGCGTGTCATCGAAAGTGGTAAGCGAGAGAAATAACCGAATGTTTTAGCCGGTGGCGGTGGACCAAGAGGAGGTCCCGGTGGTGGCCAGGAGATACCCATCGTCTCGTTCAACAATCAGAACAGCGGCGACGGCAACTACCAGTTCAGCTACGAAACAGGAAATGGTATCAGTGCGCAGGAAACGGGTCAGCAGCAAGGTGAGATCAGGGCCAGCCACATTTCCCAACAACGACATCCCGTGTTCCTTTTCTTCGCGGTCCGTTCACTGCCATTTCTCGCCGTTATGAGTTCCTATCCATCATCGCGTTCAGCCTAGAATCCTTCCGTTTTACAATGGGAGCCGGATCGGTGAACGCTGGAACGCCGCAACTGATAAAACCTGCCTGCTCTTCTCCGTACACTTCCTGCAACACCTGCTTTCGCAAAAATAATAGTTACTTCGATTACTAAGAACAAGTTCATTTTCATCGAAGCAAAAAACAGTCATAACTTAATTATATTATGAAAGAACAATATTATTTAAAATTTGAGACACCAATGTATATTGTCAATACTTGAGTATCCTTAATATTTATTAACAGTACAGAAATATTGACAATATTCAATTGATAACATACACTATCTGTCCCCATACAGCCCTCGATTCTATTAAAATGCAAAGTCCCTTAACAGGTAAAAATGCAGCCGTGTTCTTGCGGAATGCGTGACCCACTTCCGGTTCTCGACAGAGCGCGCAGAAAGGCCGCAGGCAACCGCTCGTTCCAATTCCGACTCGCGATGAGTGATTACCGAACAATGATCGTTATTAACAAGCTGGAAAGCCGCAAAAATTTCCTCGATACAACATGACGCAATACAACCCAGCCTGTTACACCTGTTGCATCAAGGGTTCATTCGTCTTTCTCCTCGCAGGTAATTCGGAAGCGGTTAGTGGATCGTACTCGTACACGGGACCTGATGGCGTGCAATACAGTGTCTCTTACACGGCTGACGAACAAGGTTTTCATCCCCAAGGAGCTCATCTTCCGACACCACCTCCCATCCCACCGGAAATCCAACGAGGAGTCGAATTGGCACTTGCCGCTGAGGCCAGAGGAGAGAATCAAGACACTTCCGGTGGTGGTGGAGGAGGTGGCGGTAATGGCGGAGGCGGATATTCAGGCGGGGGTGGTTTCGGTGCGTTTCGATGAGTAATTGACGTAGAAAGTTCGTTATTGTACTAATGAACTTATTGCTTCATAAATGTGAATGAATCAGATAATCAGTTACTTTTGTTCAAGTCCTAAAACAGTAACAAAATTTAGAAGTGTCATCGAAAGATTAGATTCCGTGTAATTTTAATTACATGTTTTTGTTTTTTAAAACAGGAGGCGGTGGCGGTGGTGGTGGTGGTGGAGGTGGTCGAGGTGGAGGTGGCGGTGGAGGCGGCTATCAAGGTCCAAATTCATACCAAACGAGCTCGGGCGGATACCATTACTAAACGACACCCTGAAAGTCATTGCGTATCAATTTTGTTCCATTACAGCAATCTCATTTAAAGGCGGACTTATGTACATAAAAATATCGTTTATGTAACTTTTTTATTTATATAAAATATGAGTACTTTTATTTATATCGTTGTTTCTCTTTCTATAAAACCACACACCATTTATCTTGGAACATGAAAATATTTTTAAGCGTTCTTTATTAGAAGATAATGATTGTAACACAATTGCAATATATTCTTAGTATACTATGCATTTTGAAAAATTACATATATATTTATAGCGCTTCATTTATGCTGTAAATTTAAATATACACGTTTGAGAATAAAAAAATTATGGAATAAATGTACGACATAGTGCACAATAATACTTTCCCAAATTAAAACAGAATACTTTAAAAACTTTTTTATAAGCGTAATTATACAACATTTAAATAAGTGCTGGACTAGTTCTGGAATCTGTAGACCCTTCGGGTTCCTTTGTTTCAGTTCCTCTGGCGAACTGAATGAAAAGCTGCTCCAAGGTAGCTGATAAAACAGCATAATCTTCGATACAACTGTATCGGTTTTTCAAATCCTTCATTGTACTGTACATTTTTTCCCACGTCGTTCCAGAATTATTGACGTGATAAGCAATTAATCCCTAAAGAATGGAGATTGAGATAACATCACAAGTTTGTATGATTCATTAGCAAATGATTCGTATTTGTCAAGAGCTATTACCAAATTCTCATCTCTGACTTCACACGTTAAAGATGATTCCATAATCATCTTTATATTGCTAACATCATCATCCGATCTACTGGGATTTAATTTGATGTGAATATCGTAACCAGCGCCGAATCGTTGCTTCAATTCTTGGCTTGCACCGATGCAAACCAATTGACCTTTCACCATAATGACTAGTCTATTGCACAAAGCCTCGCATTCTTCCATGCTGTTGTAAATATTTTTTTTATGCAAATAAAGGTGCAATAGGGAGTTTCGGTAATATGTATTATTCAGTCAAATAAAATACCTGTGAGAAGTAAGAATAATAGCTTGTCCCATTGCTTGACACGATTGAAGAATATTCCATAAGGATCTTCTAGCTGCAGGGTCGACCCCCGTCGTTGGTTCATCCAACAGAACAAGTGTTGGATTCCCAATTAAAGACATTGCAATATTCAAACGTCGTTTATTACCTCCACTGTAAGTACCACTTGGTTGATACATACAAGCATTTAAATCTGAAACGGGTGGATAATATAATATGGAACGATGTAATGCGTAACATTACAAAATTAATTTTATATGCACGTAAATATATTTATAAAAATACGTGATAAATATACGTATGTATCTTACTGAGCCGATTGATCCATTTATTGACTTCTAAGTCCACTTTGGATCTAGGTATACCTCGAAGTAATGCGAACAATCGCAAATGATCAAACGAGTTTAACGAGTTGAGTAAAGCATCTGTTTGTGGGCAATAACCCATTTGAGCAAGATACTGGAAATAAAATTATATGATAAAAAAAAAAACAATTTACAATAAATAGTCTTACAAAAAAAAAATGTGTATTACGTTTTTCCTGTCTGCACGAATTTCTGATCTTCCTAAGTACATGATGCCACTGTTTGGCATTTCTTCACCAGTCAACATTCTGAATGTAGTGCTCTTCCCAGCGCCGTTAACGCCAAGTAATCCAAAACATTCTCGTTGCTTCACTCGGAAATTGATTTCCTGTACTGCCATTAATTTCCCGTAATATTTACTTAACTCATAAACCAGGAACAGACTCTCGTTGTTATTTTCTGAACTTTCAAGAGTGTCAGGTTTAATAGCAGGCATTGGTGTTTCTTTCTCTTTTTCGCTGATTCTTTTTCCTAAAGCATAATCATACTTGTACATAATCATACTATTTATGTATAGCATAATTATTTAAAGAAATAGTTGTACCTTCTTCAGATGTTAAATCACGGTTCGTTAGATTCCTCATTTCTAACGCCACTGCGTACTTCTCCTTCTGTACCTCTTCATCTTTTATATCACAGGCATTTTTTAACTTTTGATCGAATACTTTAGCGTAAAGTTTGTCTATTAATCGTTCTTCTAGAATAATAAGTACAGCAAAATATATTAATGGCGTGACGGACAAATATACAACGCATTCTCCCAGGCTCATGTCACTACTATAGTCAGAAAAATAGGAAAGTTGCTTTTTGCAGACTCCATCTGCACACTCCAAATCTAGTAAAGAAACATAATAATAATTGTCTGTGTTGTTGAAGTAAAAAACTGATTAAAATATAAATTCATACCACAGCAAATATCCATAGGAGCTAGGCAAACTACGCTCTGCAATCGATTTGGTAATCGACGGCATCTTGCATTTTGTACAGCTATTTCGAAGAAAGAATATTGACCATGAAATAGGCTCACATGAGGTATTAGACGGAATATTCTTTTCTGTATCGCGTGTAGAACCTTCAAGTATTCGAAACGGAAAATCACTTCATGCAGCAGATATTGCAGCAACGCTAGAAAAGAAAACAAATGATCATTTCAAGTATCCTTACTATTTCAATATTTGATAACTTACTGAATCCAACAGGTACAAGACTCAATATGGTCCCCACAGTATTTCTCGATTTATTGACAAAACTAAAGATATATGTTATGAATAAAGAATTAATGCCAAACAGCAGTAATAGCAGTGTCATAGTCACTGAAAAAAGAGTTGAAGTTAAATTAAATTTTTAATAAATGTTACAAGTTTAAGTATCTTACATATTTCTGTGCTGTAGTATAAGCGAATATCCAAGATAACATCCATAATATAAAGCCCTAGTATGATAATGAGTACACAAGCTGTGAGAACTATAAAATCAAAGGTGAACATGGTGCCCCAATATGAGAAAGAGGAGACTCCCGTCATTCTTTGAAGTTGCTTTATTTTAGTTTCCATCTCTTGAAAGGGATGGATAAGAAACAACGCTACAGTTGGGAAGAAGAAAGAGCAGAATACCAAAACCCGAGGCAATGCTTCAGCGCTTGGTACTAACATCGTTGCTGACAAAGAGTTCGGTAACTGCTGGCTTGAAATATGAATGGAATATTCTTCTCCAGCTATTTGTTTGATTAATGCATTTGATATTAGATTCACAGTCAATGGTATACTATGAATTGCTAAGCCAGAATAAAAACCATTAACATATACAGCTCCATCAGAAGTATTAAATTCTGCAGAAACAATGTAATTGTTGCGATATTTTGCAATGTCTTGAATAGCATGATCCAACAAAGCTGAAAGGACAGTTGAATTAACTTTTTAAAATAAAACGCAATTGTTGTGCTTACCTTCTGAAACACTTTTATCTTGCTTTACTTCCTCTGCAGATCCACCAAAATATTCTACAGTATTTTTATAATGTTTACCAAGCATTTCATTTTCAGAATACAAAGCTTTTGGATACCTGTACATGTTAAGTTGCAGTGGAAATACATTTGTTGATTCACTAGGTGTGTCGTAACTTAAGCCCATTAATACTACTGACAAAATTGGTAAAAATAGCTGGAAGACAATAATATGGTAAGCTAAAATAATAAATTAGTTTTAATGGTTTTATCTTAATACGTACAGTCAATAATGTATGACTCAAATTCTTCCTAGTGTAAGTTAATTTTTTATGATACAGCGCTAAAATAGTTTGTATACACAAAGGCCATCCCGTTACTTTTTGTAATGGAGAACAGAATATTTCATTCAAATGTGTTTCTTTGTCTTCTTTTTTAATTACTCTAAAAGTGAATAAATGTTTGATTTATAAATTGAATTAAATAATAAATGAATATAATTGAAAAGTATCCTACTTTAAAAATACTTCTTCTAAAGTAATAAGTGACACGCTGATCCCTGTAACACCTAGTTTCTTTTTTTGATTTTCAACTTTATCTAAAATTTGTGGTAATGTCTCAGTATTTGGTACACTTAAAACAATCTTTTCACTGTCTACACTTATTTGTTGTGTTCTTGCATCAAACTTGTTTATAACTTTCTCTGAATTACACCAAGATTTAGTTGATAATGTAACTTCTAAATGGCCATAGCCTAAAATTAAACAATTATTTACATGTACTTAAGTGTACATTACACATTAATACTTTATAGTTCAAGTACCAACCATATTGCTTTTTCAAAAACATGGATGTACCATAACATTTTAATCGCCCTCCGTGCACAATAGCAATTCTGTCTCCGAGTATATCAGCTTCTTCCATATTATGTGTGCTAATCAAAATTGTTTTCTTCCCTCTTATTTTCTATAAAAAATTGAATTCTTTTACATCCGTAAAAATCGATTATTAATTGGTCTACCTACCAATATAATATCCCATATATCTCTTCTAGTTTCAGGATCCATTCCTGATGTTGGTTCGTCCAAAATTACAATCTAAATATTATTGAAACAAATTACTATCAAAACAGTTATTTTTTTTATAAAATAACTGAACTGATATTAATAAATTCTTACACTAGCATCACCAACAAGAGCCATCCCAAGGCACAATCTTCTCTTCTGTCCTCCTGACAATTTACTTGGAAGAACATTTCTTTTCTCACGTAATTTTAATTTATCAAGAAGCATATTAACATTTAGTTTAATTTCTTTTCTTGTTTTATTTACACCTTTCAACTAAAACATTTACACATATCATTCTGAGAAAATTATTATTTATTTACAATAGTACTTAGACTTATCAATGTACTTACTAGACCAAAAAATTCTAACTGTTCAGATACACTCATATCTGGAAAAACCATATTTTCTTGAGGACATAATCCCAAGTCATTTCTGATAACATCCAAATGTTTTGCAATGCTTTTGCCATTTATAAGAACTTTCCCTTCGGTTGGGCTTATTACACCTAATAAATAATGTAAAAACATACTAATATAAAGATTCTTATTTATCATTTTATTTATATTTTACCTGTTAAGATAGACATTAGTGTAGTTTTCCCAGCGCCATTATGGCCCAATAAAGCTGTGATTTGACCTTTGTATAAATCAATCGTAATTCCTTTTAATGCTTGAACTGCCTGTTATAAAATAATTACAAATATAGTGAAATCTAAGTATTTGCCTTAAAGCATCCAATCTTACCGATTTTCGAAAGCAGTTAGTTTTATACGTTTTCTTAAGATTACGTATCTGAATTCCAGGAGTAAGTGCACCTTTTGTCACAGATTCAAAATTTTCATTATCCACTTTATCATAGTCAAAATCTTCTATATCCTCATCAAGATATACTTTATTTCTTCTTAAATACTGCAATATTTGCTTTATTATAAAAACATATCTTTAGTAAGATGTTAAAGCATTTTGGAACATTAAACAACTTACCTTCAAAAAATAAAATGGCTTTTTACGTACTCCATACTTTCCTGGAAAAATAGCATTGATATACAATGCTAAAAGGAAATGCAGTGAAGCACCCAAAAGTGAAAAAATTAATATAAATCCAATAGATCCACTGATATTATATTGTGGATCTCCAACATCAAACATATTTGACCATTGGATACCAATTACTAAAAAGTAAAACATACTTAATATTTAAACAACACGCATAATTAAATACTGCTGATATAATATAAGCAAATATTTTTGCATACATTTAGTTTCGTATGCATTGACCTCTTCCAAGAACCTATACAACAACATATTTGGAAACAATAATCCCAAATATGGTATTATTGAAAATACTCCATCTCTTGTTAAGTGTCCATGAAGTGAAAAAGAAGCAGTATAAATAACTGATAATGCTGTTATCACAAAACGTGCTGCAAGAACAATTATGTTATGAAATCAAAGGTATTGCACAACTTAAGTATATATTACGTAAAATTTACCTGGAAATGAAACTTACGCTTTGAAAAGTATGCAGCAATGTGCATACCAAATGATATTAAATGAGCAATATGTACTGTAAACAGTAACCAAAATATAAAACTGTTGCCATAATACAAATATGGATCAACATTCTTAGAGAAAGTGTTTTTAAATAATATTATTATTGGAACTACATAAAAAATGCTGAAAAATACTCCAGTAATTAACCAACTTAGCAGATTTTGATAATGCTTTACTCCATTCATTGCCATTAAAACCTGTACACAATTATGTAATATGTAATTACAGTGTCTATCTTATAATTAATATAGAAGTTATATTAAAGTTTATAACACACTTACATTTACTCCAATGTATTTTTCCTTTGTTGCATAGTTTGTTTCTATACATAGTGGAATTAATAAAGCAATGACTGCAAACATGCACACTGCCATTCTTAACATAATATCAGATTCGTCTATTTTAACATATGGTGGATAAGGCATTTTTTGTATTGACATCTAAAATATAAATATGAAATGAATAACAAGCATTATCAAGAACAGGTGAATGGCAGCACAATGATATTTTATAATACCTTTCTCTCTATTGAAGAATGTGATGTATGATTTATAAAACATTCATCAACACATATTTGTAATGGTATAAATGGTATTGCATTATAAAATGAACGCTGCTCAAATGTATTGTAAAATAATGTATTTGGAATTTCAATAGCATGTCTTATTTTGTATTTTATATCAGTTGTATTGTATTGTTCAAATACAACAGCTAAAACATTAACATGTGGAGCTTCAACTTGTAAAATTGTGTAAGCATTAATCATATCATCTTCGGATGCGAATCCAGCTATATCTAGGAATTAAAATAATGTACAACTGCTTCAAATATTAACAAAATAAAGCATAACAATGGTTATAATACTTACTTTCATATGGTAATCTCAAACATAATCGAATGTCATTCATAAGATTTTGTGTATACGAATTCCGTGGCACATAGTATAAAAATGTCATATCTATGTTTATTGAAGTTAATTCATCTGGATGGTAGTGTGTACTTTCATTAATCTTTCTGGGTGGCTGTACACTGAAGTCTCTTGTAGCTTGTATTAATACAAACAAAGCAATAGGTATCAAACACTGTACAAATAATGTTGTTTTCCAATGCCTACAACGTACTATCAAATTTTTATATAAAAGAAGGGCAAAGAGCCTGATGTTATTAGCCATTTTGATTTTGTAATGTTACTAAATATCTTTTAAAAATTTTATGGTTTCTAGCAGCCAACATATGTTTGCATATGCAAATTCAGTTAAAGAATGCCATTGGAAGTTCATAAAAGTACAACGAATAAATTATGAGAATTGATCTATGAATCAGTATATACTCTGATAAAATACCAAAGGTGCCAAACACGTAACCTTGACTACTGTCAAAATGTATAAATTATTTCATTATTTCATTTGTAGAAATTTTATGAAATATAACTACAATTCCAGTAAACTTCTTGCATTTTGACTTTCTCATGATTGTCACAATAATTTTCTCTGAAAACAAAATGAGTTTGTTTTAGAATAATGTCAGTGTATAATAAAATAATATTCGTACACAATTAAGATCTAACACTTGCAAAACATATTGTAATAGATAATAATTTTTAAAAGGGTATATATAAATAACTTTCATGTATACATACCTGGAATGTAATTAATTGTTTATTAACTTATAGCAAAAAAAGTTATAAAAACAATATTTTCTTACATATTTTTATTAAAAATATATACAGATTAATATTTTGTACTAAATATTACCCGAAAAATTTACGTGTGACAGCAGTACTGCTTACATACAATTGTCACAACGCAACTGGGTTTCAAATTATCAATAAGTTGATTCTATAGATAAGCAGTATAGATAATATATTATCTCATAGCATATCTTATATATAACATTGAACATGAACAAGTAACTGTTATGCCACATTGACGTAAGTAGTTTGTGCCCACGGGTTGTTTTATCCCCCAAAAGTTATGAACTTTACCATTTTTCAAATCTTTAAATACTCACATTTATTAATCTTCAAAATATCAAATTTTGGAAGTCATTGATTTCTTATTAAAACTAGGGGATTTGGACTATCCCACACAAAAATCCTAATTGCGCCAATGTTTCGTGACGTGCGTGCGTTCAGAATTCCACGGAAGTATGTGACACGAGCTTAACATACTATCGTCAGATGCATGACGTATATTATACTTTTGTAGGAGATACTATGTTATACGTAGAGAACTGCGTTTCTGTTGTCGAGAAACAGCAGATGAATTTGGCTGCTAGCCAGTGAATTATTGAACGAAAAACGTTTGAATGTTGATTCATTTAAAGGCGTAAGTATATTTGAACTTATCTGCACAATGCAACAAAATTAATTGTACCCTATTTCATATGAAAACATAATATTCAGACACTTAGAATTTACAATGTGCCTAACAAAGCAACACGTTAATCGTCATTTTGACGTTGAATTATATTTAAATGTTAAATGACGTTCAAGTGAACATTCGCAATAATATTATGCTGGAATTATTTGCGTGATACAAATTGTGTAAGGTTAGCTAACGTACTTGATTTATAACGAATATATCGCGCCGTATGTAAGATTTCTTAACGTTGTATTTTCTAAGAAACATTATCATTTGATATAATTTATTATCTTATCTATGAATTTGATATTCTTATGTTTACTAGTCAATTGATAGGATGAGTATATTTATAAACTTTTCTTTTTTCAGACAATGCCATGGATTGCTGTTCCTCTAACAGAGATGGAAGTCCTAGGACTGAAAAAGAACTTCCAAACATCTCTAGTCCAGAGATGTTTGACAGTGACATCGAAGATGATAAAAAGAATGATGAAACATTAACGAATGAAGTACCGGTAATAGTTAGTCCACAGAAACCTACTCAGGCTGATTTGATTGCTAGATCCGATAATAATTTGCTAGTTAAGATTAATAAATATTTAAGTGGTGTACCTCCACCACCTAAACTTACAATATGTAGAACTGATTGTTCAGAATTTCTTGTGCGTATTTATGAGAACAAGCATCTATTTTGGACACCAGGTGTATTACCACCTGAACAATTGCAGGAACACATAAATAAAGAATTTCTGGAAAAGCACAAAGAAAATATCAGTATAATTAATCCTTATCAATGCAACAAAAGCACGCTTAGAAATTTAAGTACTGCTTTTGATGCTTGTGATCCACAATATCAAAGTAACATTAATAATAGTGTATCTATGATAGATTTAAAATCTAATGTTTCAAGTGATAATTGTACATTAAGACAAGTAGTTCCTAATAATGAGAGCAGTGTATTTAATACTGAAAGAAATGTAAGAAAATCTAATTCTGAACATGTACAGGCAACTACAAATGAAAATGAAACCAAAATATCTCTTGCTTCTGAAGAAAAGCAATCACTTTTGTATTGTACCATTAATGAAAAGGAAGCTTCTGCTTTGTCATGGCCAGAAGCATACCACCACAAATTTCATGGTATACAGTGAGTACATTAATGTTTTGTATATATCTTTTAATTTGTATTTATGCAAAAGTATCTATAATTGTTTATATAATTTCAGTTACAACAGAAACAAAGCAATAGAAGAATTTGAAAATCTTGTACCAAAACTATGCGAAAGATACATAGGAGCAGAAACTCAATCTACTTGTACCGTGTGGTTCTCTAAACAAGCACCAGGAAGTGCCAAAAAACGAAATCTTTTAGCTAAACGTAATAACGGCCAAAGTCCAGGAAAGAGATTAAATCATTTGACAAAAAGACGGAAAACATTTTCTAGTGCAAATTTGCAAGGATTAGCACTTAATAATAAGAAGCTACTAGTGTTAAATATTAAGTATGTCTTCAATTTAAAATACGTTTATATTTCAAAAAGATTTGCATTAATTTAAATTGTACAATTCTTTCTAATTCAGAAAACCTACAATTAAGAAAGGTAAAAGCCCGAGAGGAAAAAGTCCACGTGGTAAAAGTCCACGAGGTAAAAGTCCGAGGGGAACTCCGAAGAGTTCAACAAAGAAAAGAGTAGCCCGAAGACTTGTTCTAGATGGACCTAGTCCAGTAAAGGCGAAGATAGAAACTTCAAAACGTGCTCTTTTTCAAAGCCCTCCTCCTGACCGCGCTGGGCCAAGCAAGACGATTATAACCGGGCCAAATTCTCAAAATATTAAACGTGCATTATTTACACAGAATACAAAGGACCACGATTTCGATGTTGTTCAGAAAAAAGCTGAAGAATCCAGAAAAAGAAAAAACGAGGAAGAATTAGAAGGACCGCGATTCAAGTGGCCGAAAAGTTTATCTTTTGATTGCTCTCACGAATTGCATAATGGCACGACACCTTCGTGGGAGAGATATTCATCGAGTAATATAATAGAAAAAAATAAAGCATCTGTGACTGAAGGAAGAAACGAACTTAGCGACATACATAGAAAGGTATATTTTTTCATGAAAAAATCAGTGAATCAGTGGTTTTCAAAATTCTCGATTATTAAATGTTAAAGTTTACCTTAAATTTTTAACGAGTTATGTACTTTCAGAAATTATTATGGGCAGTAGCAGAGGCTTTACGGAGCGAAGGTATAGGAATGACTCATCCACAGTTCAAGCAGTATGCCACGAACTTGGCGCGAACTATCAAAAAACTTATGCCTGAATTGGAGAATAAGAATATTCCTCGTAAAGTTGGGAGTACAAGTGATCGTATGTTGAAATTAGCGAAACACCATGTTTTGTCTGTGATCGATGCTAGACCAACAGATTGACAATACTCATTAGTACAGAAAAACTGTTGACTGGACTTTATGGGAAGTTTGTTATTTATCACTATAAATATCAGTTGTTATTTGTATGACAGGGTGGAATATGTATAAACAGTGGATTTTATTTAACTGAATTTAGTGAGACATTTTGAAAATGTATTATAAGAAATCGCGTGAAGCATTAACGCGTGGTGTGTGAATGTTGAAACACGTTTTTACTGTTTAAACACAAAATGAAAAGGTTGTTTTTAATATACTTATTTTTTTATTAGCGGTAAAATAGTATATATATATATATATTTCACAACTTATAAATAATTAATAAAAGGTGCTTCTCTGAAACAAAACATAACTTTGCAATTAATAATTTTAGAAACAACGCGTTGTATACATGTATATCAATCGTACCTAGCATACAGTTGTATCTAAAATGTTAAGGGCCGAGTAAAAAAATAAAGACTAATCGTGTTGCACTCGCGATACTCGTTTATTTTTTCGCTCGTTATTCCGCATTCTGATGACCCACCCTGGCGATCACTTCGTCCAATATTTGCGTCAGTTCTTTATTCTCTTTAGTTTTCTGCTCGACTAACTCAGCCAGAGAATTGCTCTTAAGTTCTGCTTTCCTTAACATCGCATGAAGTTTCACCGTTTCGTCTTCATGCTGCTTTCGCATAGCGTCCAAATCAAAGTTAGCTCTGAAATATTTATTAATGAAATAACGCGTTTCGAACAACACGTATTTAGTTAAGTATTTATTTTGAAATATTTACTTTTCGAGTTGAGCCATAGCGTGATTCTTCAACTGGTCGTACCGCGTTTCTAAATCTTTTATAGTTTCCATATTTTCTTTAATACTTTCCTGCAATACCGACTCATTATTCTTGTACGCGGACACAACTCCTTTTAACCTTTCGTATTTCTGATGAACATCGTTGAAAGCAGCTTCCGTGTTGGTCAAATGAACGTTCGTGGCTTGCAATTCTTCCTGAAGCTTCGCCTTCTCTTGTTCAAAATTCGTACGATCCCTTTCTTTCTCCGTGAGCAGTCGACTAATCGATTTTTCATATTCTTCGACCACGACCCTGGAAAGAGCATTTCAATTACGTCCACTCCAGTCTACTCTATTGAGATTATTTTTAAAACAACAATCAACTTACGTCATCTGAGATTTACTTTTTACCTCCTGTGCCAATTGTGCTTGCATCTTATTCATTTTTTCTTGAAAAGAATTCTTCTGCTTTTCCAACTCCACTTCATATTCCTTCTTCTGTTTCTTCAGTTCCTCCTCTAATTGCAGTACAGTCGTTTTTACTAATTCTAATTCTTTACTCATATTAATATCAATAATAAGTGGAGTCTCTGATTTTGGTTCCTCTGCAGGCTGTTCCTACATAATAAAAATATAAACACATACCTTTAATATACCTATTAACCAACTATACATTCGTTGAACCATTAATGACCAACTGAGCACTTACAATTTTTTCTCGAGGTTCCTCCATCTTTTGAACAGTGCGCGTAGAAATAGGACTAAAGTAAAGTAGCCTGTCAATGGCAGCTATGGCAGGATTACATTTCGGACTGGTAATATCCGTCGGTGCGTTTTCGCTTTTGCCATTTTGCTCTTCGTTCATAGGCTGAGCATTTCCTTGAGGTAACATGCTGGTGTCCGATACCAATGGATCAAACTTCACATATAAAGATTCCGCTCTCAAACGATTTATAGTATTTTTCTTCGAGTTTCCGTGAGCTATCAAAAAGTCGAAGCACTTAGGATCTTGAAACACTGGAAAAAAGTATATTATTAATGCAAACAGATACACACGTTTGAAGAACGAATTGATTCCGATAAATTGTAGGAGCAATTACATTCAGATGTCGCGCTGACGAAATGATCTGTTTCATTCGAGAATTCCAACGAGGCCTTAAAAATATCATTGGCAACCTCTTCGGCTGCAGCAGACTTCAAGTCCTCAAAATTTGGCTGCTGAATGGATAATGTGTCTAATGAAGTACTTTGCCGTTGCGGTTGAAAGTCTGTATAGTGGTCCAAGTCCAGTCCACTTTCTGCATTCAAAGAAATATCTTGCAAGGTAAGCGTTCTATCTAACTTTTCCTCGTTATCTTCTTCTTCTTTTTTCACCTTGGCCAAATCTATCGATTCTACTTTCTCAACGCAGTCTACTCGTTTGGTGTCCGAGGACTTACTTAATTCGTCATTTCTTACTTCTTCCTTCCTGGAAGAAGAAACATTTAGGCTACCTTTCTTTGGCGGAGAAAGCTCAACCTTCTTAGCAGCAATATTACTACTTTCAGTTTCGTGAACACTCGTCTGCTCCAAATTCTGTTGAACTTCAGGCGTTTTCGGTCTCACGACGGCAGTGTCGTTCGTGCAATTCTCTTCATCGCTTGCAGCATGATAAACACTAGGCGAGGTTGCTTCTAACAAACTGTTTTTAGTCAGTAATTCCCTAATAGGGCTTCCTCTTAGCGCATCCTGCGAAGAGGCGGGACTACCGTCAAGGAGAACGGGAGACGAAGATCTAGGCAATAGGTTCTTCACATCCTTCTCCTCGCGAGAGTCGTTTTCATTCGACCCTGAGGAGTCTGTTACCGTGAAGGAGGATAATGTCGGTATACTAGGCAGCGATAGCCCTTCCACTTGTTCCGCTAACGTAGATATACCAGGCAACGAGTACTCCTCGCGCCCTGAAGATTCAAACGAGTTCAAAGCAGAGTTGGGTACGTTCAAGATCAAAGGACTCGCTTCGGTCGAATTATTTGCTAACGAAGTACGTTGTTCCTGTTGACAGATGTCCGAAATCTCCTCGTTGAGGGACAAGGATACCGTCGAATTCAAATTAGTTTCCTCGGGACTGGGACGTGGAAGAGAAACATCATCGACGTTGTTCACCGAGCTACTAGTTCCATGAGAATCATCGGCGCTTTTGTTGGGTGAAATCGACTGGTTAATCGACTCCTGGGTCTTCAAGCTTCCGCTGATCGACTCATATTTCAAGCTCTCGTATACCGTCTCCTGATTCTTCAGGCTCTCGTTCACCGACTGCTGGCTCTTCGAGCTCTCCTGAGTCTTGAAGCTCTCGTTGATCGACTCCTGAGTTCTTAAGCTCTCGTTTTGTTTGTTGTTTGTAACGAGGGCTACGGGCAAGGGTTGTCTAATACAGACAGTGCCTAATAGAATGGGTCGGTCCTGATAATCTTGCGTGCGATTGGGCGTACACGAGCGCTCCTCAGCAGTCGAATCGGTTTCTACAATCTGTGTGCCATTCTGGGAATCTGTAAGAGAAAACTCACTAGTACGATCGGCTCCTAGGTCGTCAGTGGCTGAGGCGAACGTCTGATCTTGACTGAGATCCTGAGAGCTATGATTGCACGAGTGATCCTCTTCGCTGTTTAGCTGTATCTCGGCGCAACCGAGGATCAAGTCGTCCAAGCCTGATATCTCTGGATTCACGTAGGAACTGTTCACTATCTGATTAGGACTATGAGGCAAAGAGTCCGCGCTGGCCACGCCGTTGTTACTGCTCTTGGTGCTGAAGGTACTGTTTAGACTCTGGAAACTGCTTGCCGAAGACAGAGTTTCTGGAGTGGCATAAGTGATCGCTCCGACGTCGGCAAATTCGCGGGCAAATCGAACCTTCACCTCATGCTCCGCTGTTTTCGCTGCTGGACTGTCGTTGCCGCTCTGTTAAACAGAAAGGAGATGTCAGTCGGACGAGAAGATGGTTCGACTCCGCTAATTCTATTCTAAGTATTTTCATGCTGCGTTGCACTAGTCAGAATCATGAGTTTGCAAGGATTTTGAGGTCTGAATAAACGTTGATGCTAGGATGGTGGCTTGGATAGTGAATTCGCTGTTGTAACCAGGTAGGAGTAAGGTTGTATCTGGTCCTATACAATATAGATTCAATGGGTCCAGGGATCTTCTATTTCTGTACGTGGAAACAAAGATAAACAGAATCATGTTTACGGACTACATATTGCAACAGCTCACAATTCGTACATAAATCAGTGCACAGAGATAAAGTGATGCTGAAGCGGAATCAAAGTTCCAAGGGCTTCATCATAAAACTGAATACTCTCACGGTGAAATGAACATGAATGATCTACATCATAAAGTATCACGATGTAAAATCGTATCGAATGAACAGCATGTGGCGGATCCTCGCGCTAGAACGGATTCGTATAAACTACGCGTTAATCAGGCACTCGAGTGGCACATTGGTAACGAGCAAAGCGTCGCGTTCGACGCAAAATACCGATGGCGTGGGCGACGTCGTCCTTGCCGGGATCGCGGCGGCACGCTGCAGCAGTTTATTGATATATTCCATTTCTCCCGCGAACGAGAACCAGAAGAGACGAGTGGAGAGGAGAACGGTTCAACGTGCCCGTATCCCGCGAGCAATCGTCGTTCACTGATTGCGGAGATCAGCTGACGGCGTGGCTCGCGATTTCTTTCAGAAATTGCGCAACTTCGCGAGGCTGAGACTAATTATAAAATATACCTAGCGAGAGGGAGAAGAGAGCAGAATTTTGTTTTGCCGGATCTTCGCGCGCCAGTATTGGCCGCGAATCCGTGCCAAGATCAGTTGTCGCCGGATCGTGTTCGATGAATCGACGAAAAAAATAAACTCCAGTTTTCACGCGAGCTGGAGTCACGATCAGGATGGCTTATTCGCAGTCTGACCTATTTTTGATCGTCCGCGCGTTCGATCCTGGGGTAACAGGTGCAGCGCGATAAAAGACATTCTCGAGTCCACAAAAGATATCTCTACGGTTCGACGCTTGCATCTCTCAATATCACGTATTTTTATATTAAAGCGGTTTAAAAGCTTCAAGATCGCTGCTTCTGTGAAATGTGTTTCAGCCGGGACTGCAGATATTATGTTGAGAATATAAAGGGATGAATTCACGTTTGAAGTGTCGTGATGAGAGTGAAGATGCGGGTTGCTGTAATGATGCTTACATTTGCTTTTATTTGCGTTTTAGAAAACGCAGATTTACAATGGCTACCATAACAATAGTTTCTGTAAGGTGATCAAAATAACTATAAGGTGATTTAACACGTTCGAGATCGATCAAGACCTGCTGCGTCAAATGCTATGCACGTGTTGCAACAAGCGACGCACCTGTTGCGTCTAACACTATCTGTTACAATTTATAAAAATACTGTCATTGCTGAATCAGTTTCAATAAAAAACGAAGAATTTTCGACCCTGACCTCGAACGTGTTACAAAGTGAAACCCGTATGAATAACACATCGTGTATTCATCAAAATAACGATAATCAATGGTGAAGTGGTCCATCGCGTTTCAGGGAGGCAAAAGGAGGTACTTTATTCCCTGTTTTGTTTTCATTTGTTCGTCGAGTGCAGGGAGAAAAAGGCGATCAGACAATAGAGACGTTTGACGAAAGGCAAGAAGTAGGTCGTGCCACGATGAAACGCAAAATTTTGCACGCGAGTTGATTCGCAAATCTACGTTGACGGCGCGCTTTGTCTAGCTCCGCGAACACGATACGCCCGTTTTCTGGGTCACTCGGTAGACGTGGCGGAAAGGTGAACGTTTCGAGGAGTTTTCGAACGAAAAGCTCTTATAACGAGGCTCGGATTGATTCGCGAGATAACAGTTCCTGTGCAATTACTCCATCGAAATTCAACGGAGATACTTATCGCCTCGGAGAATTTGACGATGGAAACTATTGGCGTAATTTGGTTTCTTGTTCGATGTGGAATTTGGAAATCTAAAAATCTGAAGACTGATGACTTGGACTCTAGTTACGCCAAGTCCATTATTGCGTTCGATCGACTTCTAAAAATAGAAGAAATCGAATATCTTTCCAAACGAGGAATCGTTCCATGCGAAGTTTCGGTGCAAAGACTAAGAGCTATAAAATTCTAAAACAAAGAATCCTTGAAACGAAAGAAAAATAGAGACTCACAGTATCGTTTAAATATACTTTGCTGAACAGTAATGTAGTTCTTTCTTTCTTCCGTTCCAATGCTTTATTTGGTATTCGAGGATGGTTCGTGCGTGTGCATGTTAATAACGATAAATAAAACTAACATCTACCATATGTGCAGGTTTCGAACACGTTGAATGTGAAATGAATTTGTATGCTTTGTTCACGATGCCGCTGAGCAAACCGTATATAGCTCGATATATTAATATATTGTTTAAAGTTTATCTCTTTGCTAGTTATTATACCAAATCCAGAATACCGAGAACCAATATGAGCCCCCTATGATAGTTGACGTGTTAAGTACAAGGACATGTCTTAACTCTCTGTTGCACTGTATTGCAAATAACCTAATAATCTGTTACATAATGCATTGTAAAATTCTCTTTCGTATTTCTTGAAAACCAAAAGACATGCAACAAAGGGTTAACTTGCTACAAAATTTCACTCACGTTCCCTGCAAGTGACTCACGACATTCAACGTGTTAAGTTTCTATAAAAGTTGAAGAAAAAACAGCCTTCCTCATATCCTCAAAAATGTCATCGACCAAAACGATGGACCCTTTGCCTTTCGCTATAAGTCGAACTCGTTACCTTTACATCGTTTCCAAAGTTGTAAACTGCACACGATTTTTATCCTTTGTTCCAGCGTTCGATAAACAGCAAGGCAGAGGGTTAATCCATCGATAAGATTATTGTCGAACGTGAAATCGATTAAAAAATGAATACGAAGCTTTTTTCCACGAGTTTACCTTGCGGATGAGATTCCCCATGACTTCTCAAAGGACCTCCACTTTTCGGCTGTCACTGCCGCCCGATACGCGACCATATTTACACGCGGGTTCAACGGAACCCCACGTTGTGAACTTTCTTACTTTCTCCCCCCCCATCTTTCCCCCCTCTATATATCCTCACCCCCTGACACGTTTATTTTGGACGACACGGAACATCCTTCAACCTTGCCATTCACCCCTTCTTCGTAGTTTTGTGTATTTTTTTTTCTATCTTTCTTTGCTCCGCGCACACGCACTATACACTGTCCAGAATAAATTCGTCTATAAAGGGTTACGATTGCAGCAATGACGCAGTTTATCTATGCGATAATTGACGCATCGAGTGCGTCTGCAACATCGGCTACTGCACTCGCGAGAGCGCGGTGCACTAATGTGCGAGCTGCGTGCACTCGCGGGCACCGAACACTGCATGCGTTAGGTTTAGCATTCGTTTATAGGGTGGGGAGATGTTCCTAGATCTTCCTACACTCCCTTAACACCACCCTAGGCTCTCCCTACATTTTACCCCGTGTTTTTCTAAGTTATTCGAATATTCATCGCAAATTTGGATCAATGAAATATTCAACCATCCGAAATTCGAGACATTCAGACTCCTTAGTAGCGGGTTTTCACTGAACACTTAATCTGCCCGTCACTGCTCACTGACACACCTGGTGCGTCTTACACTATCTACCCAATACTTGAACGTCGAATACTTAAAAAGCACAGAAAAGTAAAATGAGAAGTTGTTTAGCCAGCTCACTCTCGATTGAAAGAAAGAACGAAAACTGACGATGGAACGATTCGTTTGAGAATTTAAAGCGTAGCTTCGGAGTTTCGAGAAGAGAGATTAGAGAAACTGAACGCTAGAAACTTTAGCATTTCTGTTATCCTCTGGTAGATAAATAACTTGAAAGTTATTCAAAATGTAGAGTAATACTGCATTGCTTAATTAAAGAATCAAATTTTCGCTTTCTTCGGGATTAATTAAGAAGCCTGTTTCAGACTGATATGTTTGAAGAAGGTATCTCTTTTAATTACCGATCCAGAAAGTTTTTTTTATTCGTCTTTCAATTATATTCGATGACTATGTACTTATTTATATATTGTCCAAACCCTGACCGAATTATTAGCCGTCTAATTTCGGTTCGATTTTCGTGGACACGTAAGGCGAATTCTATGGACGCTTTAATTGAAATAAACGCGTTTAGAAAGTAGAACATGCATATCGTACATTAATGCAACACGCCAACCAATGCATCGTTTGTTTTCCTTAAAACGCAATTCGGTATCGCGAAATAAGACATTAACTCGAGGAATATTCATGCCAACTTTTTACGAGCATTCCACGCTTTTTTTAACGTGTAATTACATAAGTTACCGAAACGTAGTAATAGATTTCCCAGAATGATTTGAATATTGTCTACATATTAGATATTACGTTTCTTAATTAATAAACAACGATGAGCATGCATCGAGCCAATTAACGCTCTTAACGAGTGTTTATGCTTCTAATGCCAGTTAAAGTTCTCTTCGATAGTAGGAGAACAGATTAATTTCACCTATAGATTTAATTTTGCGACGTATCTCCTGAATGGCGCGAAAAATTGAAACACCCACATAAAGGCTATGAAAATAAGCGATTAAACCAAAAGAGCAAAATAAATGCAAAGAGCATGATACAATTTATTTGTTAATCGTTAAACCTTTAGAATATATATAACGTGTTTATTTCACACATACCGCATCTTCCGTAAATACCCCTCGACTTCGATTGCAGTCTCGCGGGAAATCGATTTAAAATGTACAGACACCTTCAGACGCGATAATGGCCTCTTAACATTTCCCTTGGAATGTAAACCTCTTTTTATCGAATGCAATGCATTACGCGTTAGCACAAAAAATATTCGCGAGTAATGAAAAATCCCCGTCTCGATATTCGATTACTCAATCACTCCGAATTACGAGGAACATTTATCGTGAACCGTGGCGAACTACAAATTATACCGTGCGTTACTCATTAAATCTACGGTATAAATCGAACGCGTTCATTCGAGCACTCGATATTTTCAAGGCATTCGAGCGAACGAAGCGATGCAATCAGTAGCAATTCCTATTCGAAACTCGAGAAGCTCGCGCTCTCCTTATTCGGCGTGTTCTTGACATCATCGAGACCACAACACACGCTATCTGTTATATGAGTCATTCCCATCTGGTCTTGATGACCGAGAAAGAGACACTTCTCAAGAAGGGTGTGTCTCTTTCATCCCTCTTTACTGTCTCGAACAAAAGAAAAAAGGACTCGATGCAGCTCGATACGATTGCATTCGATAAGAAAACGACGCTTCGAAACGAGCGAGGAGGAACTAGGTCTGACGACACAGTTATCACCTTCGCAGTCTGCCTGTCTCTGGCTGCCAGGAGAGACTTGGCCGGAAAACCACGCACTCACCGAACGTGACGGATCAACGGAAGATATCTTTGGTCGAAATTCTAATATTAGCGCAGCGCATTCTCCAGTCCAGTCGATATTCTAGCAGTCCACCACTACCACTGACTCGGCACGCGACCACCGACATGCATATACGTGCGCGTGTGACTGTCGTGTCTGTGAAAAACGACGATGCTGCCAAAAAGCGAACGCCTCACCTTTCGACGATGATGTAGCGATCCGTGATGAAGGTTGTGGCTAGATCACGAGCAGCAAAGAACGAGCCTGCGGTTCGTCGAGCAGAATCAACGACCACAGGATCATCGCCACTGTCTTTTGCCACGATGATACGCGCACTAACACTTGCTGTTAACACCGCTGTCGTAACGTCGAACCGCGCACACGCCGCATGGGCATTACGCTACAAAGATCACCAACTATGGAAGTGGTGGAACACTCTTCGAGATAGCGAGAGGTGAGGTTCGTGTAGCGCTATCTCTGGAGTGACACGTGAACATGCCAGTTAATCGCGGCTGTTTTTAACTCCGTTTCAATGGTAAATCGAACGTTCGATTAATCGATGCTGACATTAAGATTTATCTGGAGGCGTTCGAAACCGTGATAGAGAAAGAAGGTGCTGACACGACATCATTGAACGAATCTGCAGGATACCTAAAAACATTAAATTATGAAAAATCAACGGACTTGAATGAAAAATCTGTATATTCGTACTAATTCGTACTAAAAGAACTTCGATACCATCGTGCAATTATGTTGCCACCATAGAGTTGCAGAAACGATAATGTTTAGCATTATCGGTATAAAAATGACCCTAGCGATCTATAGATTTACACAGATACTGAAATCCAGAAATATTGGGTTTTATGGATAGAAATCTAGAAATTTAGAAACATATATCAGTAGAACATACACGCAAGCGCAAGCGCGCGCGTTTCGCTTTTATGGTAGTACTATCACTATTAATTGCTGTATATTCTATAATGAATATTCGATGTTACTCTGCTTAACCAGCACTTTCTCTCGACGTACTAAACGTAGTTCGAGGCGATTTAGTTCTGCATGAAAAAGATTAGATTCATGCGATATAAGGAGATATTTAATATACGAAGTTTAATGAGTTTGAAGTGACTCTTTATGCAGAGGTTATTAACGTGTGTTTTCTCTTAGCTTTTCTTCTATCGATATTACATTTCGACTAGATATTAAAATTGCCGTGTTTATATTGCATAACTTAATTTTTATTGTTTTCGTGACCAGAAGCACACGGAAATCCAGTAGGTTTTTCATCGTAACGACGAGAACCGGTTTAACCGGGAACATGATTTTTGTACAACGCCGCAAACAAACCAGTTTTTGTTTTATACATACAAGAAATGCACCGGACATTTACAAGTACCGTGGATTCGCGGTACACGTCGAGTGTTAACTGTACTTTCGTTAATTTATTCTATGTACGTGACAGATATTACGATATGTATCAATAAACGATTGATATACGGTAAAGTGTTCGGGAAATGCGTCACGTTTAGAACATAAACACAGTTATTCTCATTTCCACATAAAAAGAAAGTAACATGAATTTTATAGGAGCATGCGTTCTTTTCAGACGTCAAATGGCAACGCGCGGGAAGCGAAACTTATTTTCGTTTCAAGGTGCTCCTGGAGATTCAGGGTTTATTTATAGGGATTCTCCGGCACAACTGTTAGCAATAAAAACAGAAGAAAGGCGACAGGGTAAAAAGAAAACGACGATACTGATAAGAACGCTGAATATGCAAGTAATTCGGAGTTCGTTGTCATATGTACAACGCATTATCGTTTTTTAAGAGAAAGTGTTCAAATACCTTGAGACGCAAAGATATCGGCGATAGATTGTGTAGGGATGCAGTAATTTCTCGAAGTACTATTCGAGTGCCTTCTCGAGTTGAACTACCGATGCTCCTTGGACTTGACATCGTGACGATACTTTTTTTCACTTTTTACTAAAGATTCGACTCGATTAAATACATTCGTCGTTACACTGTTGTAATTATTTTGAAATGTAGTATGTACAAATTGAAGAACACTTAAAATTATTGGAATTAGCATTCACAGTCGATCTTCTCTGGGCAACAAAAACACGATTTCTCTTCGACTACGTGTACCCACGATAAATATTATAATCACTTTATGTCACGATTGGTACACAAATTTAGTACAACGTTAAAACACACGAATTGTTCTATTTGATTAAAAATTCTTGTATGATCTTCGATTCTGTCACCGTTCCAATGTTTGGCACACAACCGCTTTCTTAACGGCCGTCTGGTATTTGATAACTTGAATGCAAACGCACTAGCCAATCGCGATGCGTCATTGCGTTTCTGAATCAAACACCGTGGCGCTGCTAGGATACTTTCACTGTCGATAATGTAGACTTTGGAGTTCGATTCATCATCCTACAAAACATGATCAGTAAGTTTATTAACGATTAAATTAAATTATTAGTTTGAATGAACTCTATATTCTCAATTTCCTTAAAATATTGAATTTTTATCTAACTCATCAATGACAAGAGGTGTATACGAAGCAACGTTTGTTTAATTTTACAATTTACAAATATTTATTGTCAAGTTTTTCATACAAATGTGTATAAACCGCTGCGTCACTACATATAAGGCAGTGTAAATTCATCACGAAGTTTCTACCTTATACAATAATTATTAGTCTTATATACTTCACGCATGCATTCATCCCCTCTCACCCTCTCTACTTTTTTTGTTATTATTAATACTTCACAATATACATATACATAAAAATACATTCACCCAGCACGATAACGCATTGTTATAATACGTTGCGTTAAAATAAAGCGAATTACGTAAAAGAATACTATTCACAATGCTCTGTTGATCTCGGAAATGAATAAAAACGATTATTTTAAGGGCACTTTTTGCAGGCACTAAAGTTTTTTTGATTCTTAAAGATGGTAATAATTATTAAATTCATACTAACATATTAATACGATGCATCAAGTTTCACTGCATGAATATAATCACAGAACATAGCCATAGGCTGTCGTATATGTTTACGATTCCTTTATATAAGGCACATTTTTAGCGTCCATGGTAAAACAAGTAATATTAAATTAATTTAGTGTCTCTTTAGACACTGTAGAAAGTGGTTAACACCTTGTACTGTGAATCTTATTGTTACAACAAAAATACCACCACGCAAAACAGTGGATTTAAATGGAAAGCATCATATTATTTACGATAACATACAGACGATACTGTTATTACCGTGCACTGATGCGATTCCGTAACACATGTGCAATTTTACACATGGTAGAATTTGTAAGCAATTAAATGATATTCCCTATACACTATCGGTGTTTAGTTAAAATTATTTACCAGCAATTAGTAAACATAACACTTCATCGTAACATACGAAGTGCATATAAATATTAAATTATGTATATGGATGTAACTGTAGCGGAGGATGTGGCGGTGTGGTAGAATTTTTTTGACTGCTAGATGGTGGAGTTAAAATTCCGTTATCATTTGGACTCTGTCTACCAGACTCAGGATTTGAATCAGACTCAGTTGTATCAGTAGGAGGGACTTCATCTACTAATCGCTGTTGTGCCCTTTCTAACATATTTAAATCTACTACATGAGTTTGTATACGGTGTGATTCATCCATCACTATATTAGGTACTGATGCTCTAAGTCCAGATCCAGAATGAGACTCCACAGGTGGTATAGTAGATCTTAAAAGAAACTGAGAACTTTCTTCTGCAGCTGTTATAGCAAATGGAGTAAGCCATTTCACACAGGGTGCAAGTTGCTCCCATGGAATACGTGATACTCTTAAAGCACATTCTCTTCCTTGGGTGTGATAGATAGCTGCTGCTGCTATGTGGCTATAAGGGAACTTCAAACTTCCCTCATCTAAGGTAGCTAAGTCCAATAGTTGAGCTGCCTGGGAATATTGCAGACCTCCATATTGAGGATAAATAAAGGCATTAGGTTTTGACCAATCACCAGACTCAATTTGCATATATATATTAAGCCAACCAGGGGCTGTTACAGGAGATAAATTCCATCCAAGACCTTTTAAAATTACTAATTCTTTTCCTAAAATTTCTTCTTCTGTACATGCTCCATCCGTAACATATGCAAACTCTGCTATCTTAGGTGGGTATATTTCTTCAACCTATAAAAAAATAAACATATCATTAAAACAATTATTCAAAGTTAAAATAAAAAAAAAAGTTAAAACTAAAAAATATACAAACCTTGGCAGCTATAAAAAGACACGTGATACCTATCAACTGAAGTTGATTTTTGGGTACATTTTGATGTATGGACAAATATCTGTCTATGTAATCCATCGCAAGATAGTATGTTTCTCTATGTAGCTTATATACTTCGCAAACTTCAATTAGCCAATCCAGCAATATAGCTCGCATTCTTGGCTGCAATGTTGGATGCCTTTGAAACATCTGAGGATTCCTTTGAATAATGGTTTTCTGATCTCCCAAACACATGAAGGACCAAACTTGAGAACCATCTGCCCATGGAAATGAAGGTAGTGGGCTGGGTCTATTTGATATATTATTAGATGAAGATGGTGTTAAAAAGCAAGTAGCACTTCTTAATTCAGACCATGTGGCTGGCTCTTGCTGTTCTTTCAATGGAGACACCTGATGTGGTGTGCATGAATTTTCTAAAGAATGTACTGTTTGACATGACTCTGAATATGATGTCTGTGACAATGCTGGTACTTTATTAGGCGGATACAAATTTTCTGAATCCTCAGAGATTTCTGTTGTACGTCTTTTACGTTTCAAGGATTGTGTTGCTTTACCTCCTTGCAGATAAGTCTGTGACTTTTTTCCCTGTAAACTGCATGAAGCAAAAAAAGCCAATTTGAATTGAAACCATTATGGAAACTCTTAAGATTTGTTTGAACAAAAAAAAAACAAATTTATTATGTACAATGTTGAGAAAAACATTTTTGAATTGCAACAGAAAATTACGTTATACAACGTCTAATGTCTTTTGGAAATCATCTACGTTTTAGATAAACTTTATGGTCGACTATCACTGGTTGTAAATCATGTATAAAACTATTAACTTGAAATCTGTGTGGATAATATACATGCAAAACTGCTGAATCTTCTGAGAAGTTGATATTAATTGAAGAAGGTTATACATGCATATTTCTTGATTTTTTTTTAAAGCAAAAAGTACAATACATTGTTAAAATCAGTTAAATTGGTCTCAAATAAATTATAAATTTTTACGATGAAATATTGAAGGGATTAAATTAAATTTTCAGACCAAATGGAAAGTCGTTCACTCACCTTGTCTGTGGCATCTTGCTGCAAAATTGTCGACGTGTTCAGAAATTATTTCGGACGAAAATTTATTTTTTTAATTTATACACAGATTAATTGATATTTTAATTAAACGTTGGCCAAATTTCAGTAACATACGATCAGTAATTTAACCAGGAAAATGCCGAAAAGTAAAAGAGCGCGCGAAGCTTACACGCACCCGATCGCCATAATGCACATATACTTGGCTGCTTTTGATTCAATATTTTCTGCCATAATTTCTTGTTGGCAAAAAATCTTTTAACACGAAAATTTTTCAAAATCTTTTCCAATTAATTTACAAGCCTCCAGGTATCACTGAACAATAATTCTTGAGAAAAATATAAGACGTGGAACTCGAAGCGCGGGAGACCAGCGCGCGAAACGATGACCAACCCCTGCTTGCAATCTGGCACTGTCACGCCCTCTATATGTATAACATAACCTCAAAGGGGCAAAAAAATTCCAAATTTTCGTAAAACACCTTCCTTGAACCTCTATCGTTTACTCTCAATGCATAAACAATATAACTTCCACGTATATGTGCTGATTTTAAGGGCTATGCAAACGTGGTGCAACGTTGGCGTCCTTTGACAGACGCCTTATTGTCGTCACGCTTTTACGCATTAAGATATCGTTGAAACTCGTGAAAATTACTGTCTGTAAACTGAGAACACTGTATTTTATCGTTCTGATAGAATGCATTCACGTTAAAACACAAAACACTGTGTGTTGGCGATACAGAAATCCTAGGAGTCACAAGCACCTACGCGTTCTGCGCATCTGTTTTTCCCGCTTCGGAATAGCACAATTTTTTCAAGTAATATTGAAAATTATTGTCTCACTTGAACAAACTGTGTATGCTAAAACGAAAACCAAAGTATAACTGAATAAAAAATGTGTATATACGCACAAAATAACGCTTTTAAATCGCGAACGAAAGTTTAGAACAAATGTTTCGCGGGAACGCCAAACCAGTGGACACCGGTCGAGAAATCGAGGCGCTGCTGTGCAACGATATAATCGATTCCTATTGGTCGACACGACGAGCACAGCTGGCGCTCAGCTGATCCGTCGAACACACACAAACGCATACCTATGCATGACTGCATTTACGCCCTGACCACGCGGGAAATATGCGCGCGTAAATAGTTTACCTTCCAAGCCGTAATCACAGGGCTGGAGCAACCATTGAATGAAATAAGCACATGCTTAAGATATTAAACAAAATGATAAATTATACAAATTTATCATTGTTATTGCTCTTAATTTCCAATATTTCAAAGCCATGAAGCACCAAAGTTTCAAAATCTCAAACTTTTTAAATTCTAAAGCGCCAAATCTTTATAGTCTTAAGGTCCCAAAGTTCTAAAGTTCCAAAGACTCAAATTCCATAAGCTCCACAATTCCAAACTTTCAAAGTTCTAAGATTTAAAATTTACAAATTTTTAAAGTTCAAAAATCCCCAATTTCCAAAATACCATTGCGGAAAATAAAATTTTATTTCATGATTTATATTTTTATTCAGATATTTAGAAAAAGGGTACCAAAATGTTTTAAGCATTTAGGACCTTTAAAGGTCTTCAACTTAGCCCGGTATAATCATAAAATTAAATGCTAATTATTAAAATGTAAAAGGCTGGAAAGTTATGAATGCCATATTTTCTTTTCAGCATTTGTTCCTAAAGCAAACATGCATTATAAGCGAATGAGTCATGTAAAATTACCGAGGGTCCTAGATCATAAAAGTTTGGAAAACCCTGTCATAAACCATAGAATTTAGGAAAAGGAATAGGTAGAATACAATCATTTATGCTTCATAACTTTAAATTACCCGACTAACAAAAGTAAATGGAATGGTTATTCCAGTCATGATAGAATATTCTGAAATATTAATGTATTTATAAATTTAAGACAGTATTGAAACAGAACACTTTAAGCTCAATAGTAATTCTATATTGCTAAAAAATTCTCTTATCATATGAAATTATAATATTTAGAATGTAATGTATTATTTTGTTGGGATATGTTACCAACAAACAGAAAAAATGATAAAGACGATTACTACTTTTTATACGCGACTTTTTTATCAACCGCTCAATGAAGTTTGTAAAACGGCTCATGCATGGCGCTTTATTCGCAATTGCAACCTAATGGAGCATTCGACTATCTATTTCAAACATTTCTAAGATTGTTCTCATTTATGTAAACATTATTAATTTCTTACAATAAATAAGATATTAAATTCCGAACTTTGCACATATCGAGTATACATAAATGCATTCTTTTGATCCCGCATAATTTTGGAATCGACTCTACAAATGCTCGCTGGGCTCTGTTGCTACATGTGAAATGGATTACAAGCACGGCAATAAATTTCTTAATTTTAATTATTTCAAATTTTTTAATTCTACAATATCCTAAATTTTTGAATCTCTAAATTTCTAAGCTTCTGAACAAGCATATGATTTACCATTCACTGACATAAAGCGCGGGTTCTACAAGAAAATTGTCCGACACTGTTCCTAGTAAAAATATGTTTATTTTCAGTTGGCAAGCTTCTGTAACCAAGTGTTAGGGTATCGGAGTGCTACAGGGTACTGGACCAATGTGGACAGTCCTGGTTTTCTGGAAGTCGTCAGTGGTCCGAGGCCATTAAACGCGTTGTATGTGTCTTGCAATTTGATCCCGTAGCGCTCTGTGCGCCGATCGGAGAGTAATTTACGCGAATTCCTGGGCATCCGGGTCTCTGCAGGTGGGCCTTCGGAGTTTCTTCTTGGGTCTTTTGCTTTCGATGTCACAACATTTACTTTACCATTTGGTACTCGTGTAACACTCAGGATCCGTCAGATCAAACATTTGAAAGAGACAATCTTCACTAATATTGTCACTTTGACTTTAGTTATGTATGTACCTTCTTTTATTTCTTTTATTCTAAGATTTATCACTTTTTAAATATTACAGTGTGACAAAGTACTATTCACTATTATTTCTTAGATCTTAAATTTAACTTTTTTAAATTACATGATATGTTTAATCTTAATTTTAATTATCTTCAATTAAATTTCAGCACTTAAATGTACGTAAGTTTCTGAAAGGTGATGCAGGGCATAATGCCAGTTAAAACTAAATCTCGTGTTCCTGAAAATATGGGTATCACGGGTGGTTTGGTGGATGCCAGGGACAAACAGGTGTTAAAGGAAGCAGTGGAAGCTGTTGTTAATAGTTTTGCAAAACATACTCAAGGCTATGGAAGAGGTATGGAAAAGGTTTCTCACTGTTAAATCAATTTTGATTTGTGTCATTTTATTTTTTTAGTCAATGTGGTGGAAGCTTTGCAAGAATTCTGGCAAATGAAACAAAGTAGAGGAACAGAATTGAGAAATGGAGCTTTAGTTATTTATGAATCTGTACCTTGTACCAGTCCACCTTATGTATGTTATGTCACCCTTCCTGGTGGATCTTGTTTTGGTAGCTTTCAAAATTGTCCTACAAAAGCAGAAGCTCGTAGATCGGCAGCAAAAATTGCTTTGATGAATTCTGTTTTTAATGAGCATCCAGCACGGAAAATAACAGATGACTTCATAGAAAAAGCAGTTGCAGAAGCAAGAGCCAGCTTTGCCAAGCCTTCTGCAACATCAAATGGTGTTGGCAATCAAACACAAGTATGTTGTATTTCCAATTAGTCAAGCTTATTTATTGTTAATAGTTATGGAAATGTACTTAATATTTCAGGGAAGTGGAGATGAGAAAGAGGATCCAAATACAGGTATAGGCGCGTTTCGTTTTATGTTGGAATGCAATCGCGGAAGAACTATGTTAGAATTTCAGGAGTTAATGACGGTCTTTCAATTACTTCATTGGAATGGATCTTTAAAAGCTATGAGAGAAAGACAGTGCAGCAGACAGGAAGTAGTTGCTCATTACAGTCACCGAGCTTTGGACGACGATATGCGTAGTCAAATGGCACTAGATTGGGTAGCAAGGGAACACGAAAGCGGTGGCGGTGTCGTTGCTATGGAATTGGCATTAGCCGAAAGAGAACTTGAAGCGGCACGTTTAGCAGGAAGAGAGCTTAGATTTCCTAAAGAGAAAAAAGACATATTGATGTTGGCACATGCTCAAGTGTGCCCTCAGTGATTTAAATCAAAAAGATCATGCAATTTAAAAAGAATATGTGAAACTGGTTTTACAAAAGCTGGTAATAAGGGAATATGTTTTTTAATGACATGTAATGTCACTATATTGTTGTCTAGGATCGAGACACATAATCAATTCCGTCCTTGTAACGATATATTTTTGGTGATATAGAATATTATGAAGTTATAAACCTACAGTAATGTTAAGAGTACTTAAAGCATATAACTGCCATGATAAAGTATCGATACGCTAAGAGGAAAAAGGTATTCAATTTTCAATCAAAATTATTCATAATTTGTACATATATAGGTATGTTTTGATACAGAATCGCGTCTTCCATTACTTCGCCCAGCCGCCTATGAGTATAGCATTATATATTTTTATCGTATAGCAAGAGTGCTTGGTGATATATTGTGCTTGTTTAAGAAATGTGAAGAGATCTGAATAATTTGTTATTAACATATCACATTCATGTTTGTCATTTATGAAATCATCATTTCATGTTTTATATTTACGTAAAGTTTACAAAATATGGGCACATTTAGTGTATTCAAATACAGTTATATACATGATATAAATTGTAATTGTTTTAAAAATGTTTTATTACTATTTTTAAATATTGATAAATACATGTTTTAATAAAATTTTACAATTTTGAACACTTATTTCCCAATTCTAATATCATGGTTGTGACGTAAGTTCAAGGGTAGTCTCTGCTACATTCGTACTTTTTGTTGCTGTTTCTTCTTCTTCTTGCATTGGATGAGTTAATACTTTGTCTATAATTCCAAATTCCTTTGCTTTGGCTGGACTCATAAAATTATCTCTTTCCATACATTGTTCTGCAAAGTTACATATTGCAAAATACTGCATTAATATATTTTTACAAAATTTACATACCTATTTTTTCTAATTCCATGCCTGTATGTTTGACATATAATTGGTTGATTTGTTTTTTAAGTTTTAATATCTCTAATGCTTGTATCTGGATATCAGTAGCTTGTCCTGACACTCCTCCTGAAGGTTGATGCGTCATAATCCTTGCATTAGGTAACGAATGACGCATGCCTTTTGTTCCTGCAGCTAATAGTAAACTAGCCATTGAACATGCTTGGCCTACACACCATGTTGCAACTGGAGGAAGAACATATTGCATGGTATCATATATACCAAGTCCAGCTGTCACACTCCCACCAGGAGAATTAATGTACATATGAATTGGATTTTTACTACTTTCTGACTGAAGAAATAGTAGTTGAGCAATCACTACAGAAGACACGTTATCTGTGATCTATAAATAATATAACTTGCTTCATTTTTAAATTCAATGTCTTGTTGGTAGTTGGATATATGATAAACTAATATTATAATGAAGAAGGTATCATACCGGGCCCATTAGACAAATAATCCTTTCCTTTAAAAGACGGGAATAAATATCATATGCACGTTCACCTCTTCCACTTTGTTCTACTACAACAGGTACAAAATTTAAGTACCTATTACTTATCTTCTGACAAGGTACCTACAAATTCCAAACCACTATATTAACATTTTTACCATACAAAATATTATGATTAAGAAGACTCATATAAATAAAATATGTGATTCAGTTTAAGTTGTGAAATACTTACAGAAATTTGTAGAAAATTGTTTATTCTTCGTAATAACATTTTAATAATTTCATATATCTTAATCGAATACGTGGTTACGTATGCATTTATGCATTAAACGTGACTGCAAATAACATTTCATGTAACGAACTATTAAACATTTTGATTTCTCATTAAGTCTGATAGGAAATAAAACATAACCTAAGGAGTAGGAATTATCGCTATTAATTACATGCTATCACTCCAAATTGATTAAAAATATAGCACAGATAACTATGTTAGGGTTAAAATAAATTATCTGAAACAATTTATTTTTCGTTTTATTGTTCTCGATTTTTGTAGGTTATATTTTATTTCTTTTAACTTATACGTTCTTTTATCATAAAGTGGTTAGTGTATTTCATTTTTTATGTTAAATTTTACACTTTATCGAATTAATCTTTCAGTTACAAACAATTTTTGATCAAATGGTTATCGAAACTAACTTGTTTTAAGTCTTGATGTAAATAGTACATTTACATAACGTGTTTTATTTAACTGTACTATGACAATTCATCTAAACTAATCAATTAATGACTGAAAATATAGAACAAGTGCTTAAAATAATTTTTTTGACTACCTTTTAAAACAGTGCATGCGTACAGCCTTTAATATTTTGATCATTCCTCATGTAACAAGATCGGATGTGAATCTTTTTATTGGTTACAAAAGTAGTTATTATAAACTTCAAGAAAAGAAAAATCATATTATACTTTGCGAAGTATGTATTGCATTAAAATAACAAATAACTTATCACGAATGTAAAGATTGTTAATAGTTAAATTTTAATTACTTTAATCTTAATTTTAATGTACCTAACCTCTTATTTCAATACAATAACTACTAAAAATATTGCTTTACTACTTTAGAAACTTCATCAATTACATAAAAATGTATTTTTTACAGGAATCATGAATATGTCTTCATTATTTAGAAGAGTATGCCAAAATATAGGCTCTGTTATTCCAAAAATATCTGTGGAACCAGTAAACAATGTTATGAATCGTAAAATGCATTATATATGCAATAAATCAAATTTATACAATTTATCAAACACCTATGCAAATAAGCTTAGTGCACCGGCATTGCTTCAGCCTTCTTTGCCAATATATAATTTAACATGTGGTTTAAAAATGAAAACTGTGTTGCATCGGCGTTGTAAAAGTTGTCTTCTAATGTGGAGGAATGACAGAAAATATATAATATGTAAAGCCAAAAGAAGGCATAATCAAGTGGAAAGGAAGAAGAAGGAATACAATACATGGATACTAACACATGCCTCACAAAGTAAAGTTCGCGAATGGTAGAATATATTGTACTGCAAGTCAAATTATGGTATTTAAACAAAGTATTTGTACATAAATTGGTATCTTGTACAAATAAAATAGTGCAATTTATGCAACAATAATTTTTTATTTAGTCATTACAAAAGAATATTTGATTATTTATGCAGTCACAACACATTTTACAGTCTGGCAACTTTGATTTAACATCTGTAAACGCTGGATGCTGAAAATAAAAGGCAGTTACAATGTTGAATTATGTTATATTCTTTGATATCATTGATCTGAATTTGTAACTTACTGTAAGGGGGACAAGTAATACTGCAAACATTCCGTAATGTTGTATATGGTTGGTATTTACTATACCAGTATGAATAACTTCGAGGAGAACAAGGCGTATAAGGTGGACTATAAGGAGTAAACGGATGTATTGCAGAATAAACCTATTAACATATAGAGAGATTTAATAATTGATTCCATGTCATGATTATTTATAATTAATATACTTTTGTGTTTAATTACATACTGTACAAAAATTATCAGGTGGTCCCTCTACAATATTCACAGGAATAATATTGCATGGAGATGTGCACATTGGCTGATTACATGAACCATTTGCTTGGGCACTAAATTAAGTGAAATAATGCATTATTTTAAAATAGATAAAAATAATTAGTGACAGTATTACTTACGACATGTTCGATTTGATAACTTTCCTTACATCAGAATTTTATTTCCTAAAAGAGAAAAAGAATTTTGTGGTTAAACTGTCATTTATTTCGAGTTTCAATTTCATGTATCATGACAATTGAAATGTTAATGTGCATTCATGTACTTTGTTCTCCTTGCCGGCGATGAAAAAGTAAAAGTCGAAAGCTGAAACTTGTAAAAATGATAACTTATAATTATAATACAATTACAATTTCATTCTAACTTAAACATAAATCGTAGCACTTAGCTCGATACCATTTTCTACATATTGTCTTTTGGACAACATATCGAAAATGATATCGATTACCAGGTCACACCACGTGGAGGTGACTACGATTGTGACCCACCCTAACTCCAAATCCCTACCACCCTCCATTTGCAAATCGCTCATTTATCGGAAGGATAAATGAGTTCTGACTCTACTTAACTCATAGGCTCGCATATACAAGTACTTTACCACAATCCAGCAAAGAACTTGTATTACACACACACACATACATTAACTTAATACTAATTGCATAGGATCCCACGCATACGCTTAACTTATTCTAAACGCCGCACGGTACCTCTCATTCTAAGATTGCACTCAAATAATCTATGACGAAGCAAAAAAGCAAAGGGGCAAAAAAGAAAGTTAGAAGAACTTTCTACTAAAAGAGAAGAAAGTTAGAAGAACTTTCTACCAAAAGAAAAGAAAGTTAGAAGAACTTTCTGACAAAAAAGGGAACCATTATTTTTCGCCAAGCGAACCTTGCTTTCCATGGGTCAAAGGGTAGCCCATAGTGGCTTACGTGAACCACGACGGCAAAGATGAACCGAAGATACCTTTGGCAAGAACGAGTGATACACCCCA